GAGTGTTTTTACATGGGGATGGAAATGACCTAGAAAAACAATTAGGAAACTGTGCCATTGAATCCAAATAACACAACAAAGGCAATCAAAGGCATTGATCTAATCTGGAAAGAATGAGACTGATATTCTGGCTAATAAGTGAGACCATATCGTACATTGAAATGTTCTAAAGTGACATTACTCTCCACTGAAATAAATCTGCGAAATTATTGGTCTGTTTGCTAGTGGGCATTGCAACTGTCCCCCTTCACACTTTTCTGTAACAGTATTTAGTTATTTATTCCTATGCCACCCAACAGCTGAAGCTCCCTGACTTTCACATCTACTGTATTCTTTCAGTGGCTATTGAAGTTTTAGGTGTTGGTACCTTACTAACATTGAATAACAGCACAGACCTTTGCTCATATCCATGGTGCTCAGGCACTTACTCAGGAGGAGCCTGTTGTACTTTTGTTTCTATTGCAATTGCACTAGGAAGGCAGCAACTCCGTATATACACCTACAAGCATATGGGTCCTGCTTAACTCACTGAAATACAGAAAGCCACAGAATTAACCACTATTATACCTGGGAAATAACTAGGTAAGGGAGGGCTGCCATTCAGCAAAGTCACTCAATAACCATAGCAGGGTTTTCACTGCTTTTGCATACAGTGACGATACAATACACACAACAAACGGCATGTAACTTTGACTATTGCTGTGATGGGACCATACATTTGCAATGCAGGGGAGGGGGATTTCCACATGCAAAATCATGTGCTCTACCAACAGTATAATAGAGAGATTGATGGAATAGTCACAGATTTTATTAAACAACATAGATAGTGGTGTGAGGACCAACCGTTCTGGGTTTGAGACTATCTGGTTTTGTGTGAGATGAGAGATAGGAGCTTTTTATTCCCTCGCTACACCTTGATACTGAGTATTTCTATACCTGTTACATGACCGTCTGTCATGTTCTGCTAGAATAAAAAGATGGCAATCCCCAACCAGCAGAGGCTTCCTATTTCTCAAGGCATTATTATTCTCAGCCGAGAAATGTCGAGCAGTGCAGAAAAAGCTACTCAAGGAAGGCTTTTTCAAAATTGCCCTCTTTTCAATGGAATTTTTGCCCTATATTAGGGTTAGGGGTGCACCAAGGTAGGATCAGGGTTAGAAAAATGAAGTGTTCTGGCATGATTTTGATGGTTGGAATGTGTTTAGAGCAGGCAGAAATGTTGAGCAGTGCAGAAAAAGCTACTCAATGAAGGCTTTTTCAAAATCACTTCATTTTTAATGATATTTTACCCCTATATTAGGGTTAGGGATGTGCACCTGGGTGGGGTTAGGGTTAGCGAAACGAGGTGTCCTGGAATGCTTTCGATGTTTGGAATGTGTTTAGAATGGGCAGAAATGTTGATCTGTGCAGAAAAAGCTACTCAAGGAAGACTTTTTCAAAACCACATCATTTTTAATGGTATTTTATCCCTATATTATGGTTAGGGGAGTCCACCAGGGTAGGATTAGGCCAGTGGTGATGAACCTATGGCATGCGTGCCACAGCAGGCACACAGAACATCTCTGTCAGCATGCACGCCAAGTCGCCCCAGCATCGCCCTAGCAGCTGAGCATTGGATAACAGCGCAGATAGGGGCCATGCACATGCTTGGAATGGAATAGCGGTGCCCGGCGATAACATCACAAGCCATGACTCATTAGCTACGATGAGTCTGAGCTTTTGCATGGTCATTCAGTGCTCTGCCAAGGATATATTTTTATGTATTATTGCACTGCATGTGAGGGTTTTTTTCTAACCTAAAACCTCAGTTTTCAGGTTTTATTATAGTGTTGGCACTTTGTGATAAAATAACTGGGTTTTGTGTTGCAGTTTGGGCACTTGGTCTCTAAGCGGTTCACCATTACTGGTCTACTAGGACAGAGAAATTCCTCCTTCCTTCACAGCCAGAATTGGCCTCAATAATAGTGATTGAAGCCAAAGTAGATCCTTACTTGAAAAATAGGCAAGATTGCTAACTCAAAGGATTGAGTAGCAATCCTATTCTTGTTCATCTGGTGTAATTTGTGCCATTTTTTTTTCAAATGTTGTCTTCGGACTGTATGACATATTATTTTCAAGGCTTAGGATACTTAAAACAAACAGATAAGGCTAAGATGAAATACCCATTAAAGTATATATAGTAGAATAGCCCAAGGCATTAAAACAAGGTCTTACCAAGCTTCCAGGCTCAGTTTTAACAAGTCTCCCAGGGAGTTCCTTGAAGTGTCTTAAGATCTCCATAATGCTGATTCAGAGTATGCTAATTATGCACACTCCTAATGCTGGAAAATGACCTCTGTGCCTTTTATTTATTAAAATCCTTTCACTTCAGTAAAAAGGAACGCTCATGTTGGGAATTGCTTTGAAAGCTAATTGGCTGAAAAGTAGGCTATAAAAGCTGAAAATAAATGAAAATGGGTCACTAAATTTTTCTGTGTTCTCTTCAAATACTTCCAGATATCTTCAGTGGCAGCATTGCTTGAATAATAAGCTGTGACCTCACAGTCTAATTTATTCCTGAAAACTGTACTGACCAGTCAGTGATGAATTTAGAATTTGTTAACCTACTGCACAGAGATGTGATATAAGTTAAATGAACAATTTGGAGCACATTTACTTGGAAGGTTCATCAAAATCAAGTGATTTAAAATGGCAACTGTATACACACTTAAATAGAAAAAAAGTTTATTCTCAACATGCCTGCTTAGAATGTTGGGAGTTGTAGGCCTTTTTGTCTGTCTAAACATAGAGAGGAATTTACCATTTTGTTTGAAATCTGTAGTCTCACTGTTACTGTGACAATTAAATGAATTGTCTTAAGATCTCCATAATGCTGATTCATGAATTAAATGTAATTCATATATAAATCTAGGACTTAAGTATGTGCCTAGTTACAAACACACAACAGCTCAAGGTCAAGATACCAGCTACCTCTTTGCACACTGAAAAGCCTGTCATTTCCTCCTCTGGCTGCAGCTCCTTGTACAACATCCAGTGTGGTTCTACACAAGGTTCTCCATCTTCTGGTAGCAATAGGAAGGGGTACAGACATACCCTTAAGTAACACTTTGGATCCCCGAAATGAACACTTTTGAATAATAAAGTGTTTTAAATTTCAGTATTTAAATTTCAATAAAAATTGTGTTTTATTGGCTTTATTTTGAATCATGGCTGTGCCTTTGTATTTCTAAACATTTGCTTATACTAACCTAACATGCTTTTCTCAGACTGATCCTTGTGGAACAGTAGAGCTGTTCGTTAGGTATTAGCTAGAGCAGTGTTCTTTGACATACCATCTAGTCTATTAAATGCATTGCATTGCATTTGGGGGCCTCTGCATTCTCTTCTTCAATCCCACCACGTTATTTTTGGCTCATATTCTGTAATACTTGGCAGCTATAACTGTTTATTTTAAGATATTGATTAAAAATGTTAACAGGATGAGAAACAGCTGCAGGTAGTGGCAGTCTGCAAAATATATAATTACTAAGAATAACTGAAGCATATTACAGCATAACTCAACAGAAAAACATCTGGAATGTGCTGTATGTGTCACAGGAGAATTTAGCATTAAACACTTCCAACAGCTGGCAGATTTATTACCTCCTCTGCTTTAGTATTACATAGCTCACCTTTTGTTTTCATTGCAGAAGCATTGGTTAGTAGGCACTTGAGCAATTTTTGTATAAACCTTCCTTTACCTATTATAATTAGGAGAAAGTTTTGGAAAATACATTTAGAAGACAATTGATTATTAAATTCTTCAATTTTATACTGACTTTTTAAAAATACATATTCTTCGCTGTGGTGCTTTACAAACAGTCCAATCATAGGTATATTTACACAGAAGTAAATCCCTGGAGAATGTGTTTAGGATTGCAGCCTAATTTGACTATTCAAGATGCTTACTCGTGTAACTAAAAAAAAGTTTTTGCAATATCTAGTCTCAGTGATGTTAGTAAAATTACATTTAAGCATGCAAACACAAGGTATCCTTAGTAGCATCTTCAATAGTTTGTATGTTGACATGTTTGGTCTTCATATAGCTTAACCTGAATATAGAAATTGGAAGTGAGGGATTGCTAATGTTAAATAGAGCAATCCTAGGTGGAACTAGAAGGAGTTTTGCCAGCTCTCATTAGGCAGGGCAGGAGCTATGGGAGATAGTTCTGTGAGGCTCTCCACTTGTTGGATCTTTAATCTCCCCAGTGAAAGCTATAGGTGGGAAATTAGTTAGGCCTTTGTGGGCCTGTACCGATGCTAGATTTACACATACTGCAGTTTCCACAAGGATAAGGGAACCAGGATGCTCCCCTTGAGCCAGTGGAGAGGCACCCTAGCTCCGTCTTGACCTCTCTTTGTTATGCATCTGAGGGCTTTAGGACTGCTCTTAAAATCACTTAGGATGTCACTGTTTTGCAATTTTAAAAGAACCCATCCTCCAGGTATTATAATATCAGCAGGGTTGCAGTCCATTGAGTTTGCTGCTAAGTAACATGCTCAGTTTAGGATGCTACTTAGTCATAGGCTCTTGAATGCCTATTCCTCCTTTTTAGATTTAGGAGGTTCCAGTATAGCACCTCTGCACAAGTTTCCATAAGTGCAGTGCATGGAGACCATGAAAAGAAATACCTAGACTTTATGGTTGTTAATATTTGATAAAGTGTATTAATGGGGCTAGATTTCTAGTGTTATCATACAAAGTATGCCATTTTGTGAATGGATCCAAGATTGTAGATATTCGTTAAAAGTTTTGTTCCACATTGTGACTAAGCCATCATACTACTAGGAATTGACATTCTTGATGTCTTTATAGGTACCATCCTTCTTTATAATTCATAGGAAATAATTTTCAAAGGGTAGAGGGAAGACTATGCGATTCTCCCACATTCCTCTGGAAAGCGGTTAGTTCAACAGTACATTGATTTTTATGAATTACTTTCTTTGATCTTGTTTGATAGAAGCGAGCTGAATCGTCAAAAAATTCACACCCAGGAGTTAGTTTGTCAGCTGGAAAGAGCAAATGAAAAGGTTATTGAGGTAAGACAGTAAGCCTCATCTAAATGTTATACTTCAACAAAATGAAAATCTTGGAACACTCTTAGTTAAACCTTATTGATAAGGAATTATTAGTTTGCCTTTTTTGCTATGAAAGTTTTGGGAGTCATAGTCATTCACAATCAAAAAAGCCTGTCTTATTTCTGATCATGCATATTAGAAGTATGCTAGAAATAGTGATTAATTTGTTCCAATAAAAATGTTACAGATACTCATTCACAGCTAATTTTGTGCAGTAATTCAAAACCCCATTTCTCCCCAGTAGATAGCACTTTTTATGATATTTAGCTTGTATCTTTTTGTAATGACAGGCTCAGTTGTAACAAACTATTTTTAAATGCCCTCATTTGCCAGGATCTTTTTCCTGTTTCCTAGTTTGAGAGATAGACTTTGCCATATACATTTACTTGTGGCAATGTTTTAGTTTTTAGATTAAAAAGTCAATGTAAACCTGAAATGCATTTTCACTTGACCATCACTGTTGTTCTTCGTCGTGGCCTCTGTGCATCACACATATGGGTTCTGTGCCTGCGCAGTGCCTTTGGCTGGAAGATTGATAGCTAACGGTTTGGCGGGAAAACTCCGCTCCCCTCCCTGCTAGCAGTATAAATGGAGTGAAGTGTCCGCCATTTTCCAGTCTTTGTAACCGCCGTTCCTTGTGCCTCGTGCCGCTTCACTCTCGCTTAGATCGTTACTCGTATTCTCTTTGCTTCGAGTTCCTTTTCTCTTTTCCAAGTTAGTATTCCCTCATTTATATTGCTCTCTACTGTTCCAGTTAGTCTCTTCGTTTTTCTCTTTCTTCTTGTTCGTATAAACAAAAACCAAAAATATTATCTGTTCTCGCTATACTATCTTCTCTTTTTCTATTTTCCGCGATGGCGCAACGAGCGGCGTTCCGCAAGTGCGGAGAATTTGGCTCTAAGATGCCCGCTGCAGACCCATATGACCTGTGCCTCCTCTGTTTAGGGGAAGGTCACAGGACGGACAAATGCGGCCATTGCCTGGCCTTCTCTAAGCAGGCCAGGAAGAATAGGGAGAACTGCCTACGTAAGCTCCTGTGGGACCAAGCTCTTCTACAATCGGACCAGCTCGTGGCTAAGCCTGCTACAACCTCGGTTGCACCTGACCACTGTCCGTCTTCAGCTGATCTGCTGCAACATCCGGCCCCTTCCTCTGCTGCTCCGCCCTCACGCCCTTCAGGCGAAGGTGCTCCCACCATGGGCTATCAGCCTGTTTCCCCACACAAGAAACAGCGGGAAAAGAGGAAACACAGCGGCCTTGAGAAGCCATCTGTGCATAAGAAGGCCAAAAGAGATAAGGCCGAAAAACTGGCTAAAAAACTGAAGAAACCCGAGCATATGAAACATCGACACTCAGGTTCGGCGGCTTCCTCGGTCCCAACCGCAGTCGCAGTACTGACGCCCTTGGGCCCAACCATCCAGGCGGCAATGAGGGTTACTCCTCCAGTCTCTCCACACCGTATGGGATCTGAACTGCACCAGGATCCACCTCGCGGCTCGATTTCCGATGGCGAAATTCAAGACTCTCCACTGAGGGCCCGGTCCCTGACGCCTATGCTGCCTGTTCGGCTCGATACCGAGACTGGAATGTCCCCTCCAAGAAGCCGTAGAAGTCGGTCTTCCAACACCTGATCCGACGACTGGTACCATTCCTGGTATTCTTCCATGCCAAAATGGCCCGACTACCCATCCGTTGGATACTACCCAGCTGCTAGAGGTCAATCCCCTCCACCAACTTCTTGGGATCGTCCCCTTTCTACAGCCTCGAGAGACGCCCTGCAGGCACCGTCTAGGGAGAGCAGTAGATCGGAGTTGCCAGGAGATTCCTCCTCCAGCATCCCAGCTCCATATTGTGTGGACTCGGATGAGTCCGAGGTCGATTTGAGTTTGCCGGATGCTGCAGTCACCTCGCAAGGCCCTGCCTGCATCACCAGAAGAGCCGCACATCTCGTTTGCTGAACCAATGTCCAGACTGGTGAGGTCTCTGGAAATCGAGGCCAATCAACAGCCCGGTCCCAGCACCGATCATTTCTATGATGTAGTGTGGGGTGAGCAATCGATCTCCATCGCTTTACCGCTCATCACGACTCTCCAACAAGTGATGGCTCAACCATGAAACCTCCTGGCTCATCCTCAACTGACCTTGAGAAGATATGAAGCCATGTACCGGGTTTGGGAGGGGGACATTCTGTTCCTCCTCTGCCACCCCAAACCGAACTCGGTGGTGATGGAGTCTTCTCAAGGCTGGGAGGCATGGGGTCACACAGTGCCCCGCAACAAAGAGGGGAGGAAGATTGACTCCCTTGCGCGTCGAGTCTATGCGGCTTTGGGACTCAGCCTAAGAATATCTAACTATGAGGCGACTTTGGCGTGTTATCAATACTTTATAATGCAGCGCCTGGACAACATCATCGCTGCTCTCCCAGATAACCAAGGCGACCTGGCGCTGGTATTCGTAAAGGAGGACATGCAGGTCGCGGTGCAACAGCTCTCCACAGCTAGACAGCATGTGGACACGGACTCGAGGGTTCTCGTTGGCACCATCTCTCTCCGGAGACACGCCTGGTTGTGTAACTGCAACTTTCCGGAGGAGATGAAGAAGAGGATCAAGGAGATGCCCTTTGACGAGTCTGGCCTCTTCAACACAAAGACCAACCACAAGTTGAAGAAGATCCACGAGTCGAGGATGACGGCCCGGCGTATGGAGTTGCAACCTCAGCCTCGACGTAAGCTGTCGTGGACCCGTCCATAATATTGACAACAGTATCCACCCCGACAACAGCCACAGCATCGTCAACAGCGCTGCAGGCAACAACCGCCACAGCGATTCCAGCAAAGCCGCTGCTGCTTTGATGGAGACAAACACCAGCGCTGATGGGACGGGCAAACCTTTCCTCTCCTTCCAACCCCACCCTTCCCCCTCTCATTTGGGGACCGGCTGAAAAGCCGACTCCCCGTTTGGGAGTCCATTACATCTGATCAGTGGGTGTTATCCATCATTCAGCACGGATATCGAATAGAATTCGACACGTTCCATCATCGAGTCCCATCCGGTTTACTCCATGCTCGCCAGTGTTGTTAGATGAGGTTTGCCAGCTCCTTTCTAAAGGAGCCATTCATCGCTTATCTTTATCAAAAGGACTTCACGGATTCTATTCTAGATATTTTACGGTCCCGAAACGGGATGGAGGTCTTTGACCAATATTGGACCTAAGAGCTCTTAATAAATTTATAACACCAAAGAAGTTTCGGATGACCACACTTCAAAATATCCTGCCATTGCTGAGGAGAGAGGACTGGTTCGCCTTACTGGACTTGAGGGATGCCTATTTTCATATTTCGATCCATCTACGTCATAGGCATTTCCTCCGTTTCGCGGTTGCTTCTGAAATCAACAAATTCACAGTGCTCCCGTTTGGACTGGCCACCTCCCCGAGGGTCTTCACGAAGTGTATGGCCCCTGTCTGTGCGTACCTTCGACTACGCGAAGTTCAGATACACCCTTACCTCAATGACTGGCTGTTGGTTTCCCAGACTAGAGAAGGACTTCGCTTCTCTGTAAATATGGCTTGTGACTTATTGCAGGACCTTGGACTCTGCATTAATCGTGAGAAATCTTCTCTTGTCCTTGCGCAGATGATCAACTTTATAGGAGCCCGGCTGGATTCTACGGTGGCGAAGGCCTTCCTCCCTCAAGACAGACAACACACTATCGCTCAACACATCTGCCGAATTCGACGAGACAGAACTGTTCCTGCCCAATCAAAGACTTTTGGGGCACATGGCAGCATCCATTGCTGTAGTTCCATATGCCAAACTTCAGCTTCGCCCCCTTCAACTGTTCTTCAACAGAATGTTCCGGCCACAGACGGATTTGACTCCCGTCCTCCGTCCTACAATCTCTACTATGGTGGATGGCATCAGAAAATTAGCCCAGCTATCGATGCAAATCTGGGAGCGGTGCATACAGAGAGATATTACCCTGATAGCAGTACATCTAGTGGGTACGAACAATGTGGAAGCAGATCTCTTAAGCAGAAACATGTCCAAGTTGCACGAATGGGAACTGGACTGTCAGACATGCAACAGGCTGTTCCAGCGATAGGGCTTCCCAGATAGAGACCTATTCACCACCCGACAAAACAGGGTGTGCGAGACTTTTTGCTCGAGAGCAGGAATCGTCCGGGGGTTGTCCGGGGATGCCTTTATAATCCCTTGGAATGATATGATGTTTTACGCTTTCCCCCCAATTCCCCTCATCATGAGAGTAATAGCAAAGTTAATTCACGACGGGACCGCAGGACTGCTGATAACTCCTTGGTGGCCACGCCAGCCATGGTTCTTGACACTTCTTTGCATTTCTCAAGAGGAATACCTTCAACTCCCTCCCATTCCTTATCTCATAACTCAGCAGGAGGGCACGATCCAGCACCCGGATCTAGCGTCGCTGAAACTGACAGCCTGGCGAATTAGATAGCAGTCAACATCGGCCCAGTACCGACGCCATCTGCAGTTCCTACTGATCCTATCCCTAGATCCGACACACCATTCCATGCTGTGAATCCATCTACCTCCTCTACATCCTTGGATCCGACGAATATTCTGTCGGCTTCGCGAGTTCTTCATCCGGACATCCAATATATTCTCGATTCTGCACTAAGGCCATCCACTCGAAAATCGTACATGGCGAAGTGGTGTAGATTCTCTAGTTTTGCTGAATCTCACTCGTTTTCACTGAACTCTGCATCCATAGATCATATCCTCCAGTTCCTTTTAGAACTCCACTGTTCTGGACTTAAACCATCCTCCATAAGAGTGTATATGGTGGCAATTTCCTATTACTGCGGTACAGTGCAGGGTTCTTCCATTTTTTCTCAACCATTGGTTAAGAGATTTCTTAAGGGACTCTGCAACCTCCATCCCAGTCAGACCGCTTACACCTACGTGGAGTCTTTCAGTGGTGTTACAGGCACTGACAAGACCTCCTTTCGAACCCTTGGCAACAATTGACTTACGTCTTGTTTCTTGGAAAACTGCTTTCCTTGTAGCAGTTATTTCAGCCTGGAGATCTAGCGAACTCTGTGCCTTCAGGGTAGACCCTCCATTTTTGAACTTTCACAAAGAGAAGGTAGTTCTGCGAATGGATCTGTCTTTTCTTCCAAAAGTGGCTACATCTTTTCACATGGACCAGGACATTATCTTGCCTGCCTTTTTCCCGTCTCCTTCTAATCCGATTGAGAGATCCCTGCATACTCTCGACGTCCGGCACTGTCTAGGCTTCTATAGATCGAGGACTGAGTCTATTCGACATTCCAATAGGCTCTTCGTTAAATACTCGGAACAAAATCAAGGTTTCCCAGTTACTCCTCAGAGACTGTCCAAATGGATAGTTCACACTATTACTCTGTTCTATCAGTTGGCCAAGATAGACTTAACTACAGTTCCCCGAGGTCATTCTACTAGAGCTGTAGCTGCTTCCTCAGCTTTTGCGTTAGGAGTTCCGATTGAGGATGTCTGCAGAGCTGCCACCTGGGCTACTCCATGTACTTTCGCTAGGCATTATAGACTAGATGTTCGTGCTAGACAGAGCTGCTCCTTTGGCAGAGCTGTTCTTTCAACTATTCTTCGTTGATGACACCTCCCTCCACCATTTCAGCTAAGCTTGTTATTCTACCCATATGTGTGATGCACAGAGGCCACAACGAAGAAAAGCAGGTTGCTTACCTGTAACTGATGTTCTTCAAGTGGCCATCTGTGCAGTCACACAACCCACCCACCGGCCCCGCTTGGTGTCATTGGGTGGCTCTATTCTTTCTTTGGTACCGACAATATTTTTCTGTTTAGCTGTAATTTATTTTTCTGTAGAGAGCAAACGTCCGGTCTATCAAAGACTGGAAAATGGCGGACAATCCGCTCCATATATATTGCTAGTGGGGAGGGGAGTTTTCCCGCCAAACCATTAGCTATCAATCTTCTGGCCAAAGGCACTGCGCAGGCACAGAACCCCTATGTGTGACTGCACAGATGGCCACTCGAAGAACATCAGTTACAGGTAAGCAACCTGCTTCTCTACCCATATGTGTGATGCACAGAGGCCACCTCTGGAAAACACTAACCATGCCCAGCCTCTACACATAGAAATTTAACACAAATTTAAAGCTTTCTTGATAATATAATTTTATAGAAATGAGTTGGGTCACCAGACTACAAAATCTGGATATTCTTGTTAAAGTTAGACACAATGCAATCTGTCTTGTCTTCCTTTGGTATTCGATAGTTCCTGCATATGCCATTGAATAGGTTTTTCTTTTTCAAACCTTGCTTTTTGCAATATCCATGATCAGATAACAGAATTGTACATTTATAAAGAGGTGTTTCATTTATATAGAGTGAAAAACTAATGAAGGAACAACAAGAAAAAGTCGACAGGCTTCAAAGGCGACTTAGCCAAGCAGAAGAGAGGGCAGCTACAGCATCTCAACAGGTATCTAAATATAAACCAGACAACACTCTTTGGTGTTGGCTGTACAATCAGCAATATTTTAAAATAACAAGAAAGTTTTAGTTCTTGAGTAGTTCTGGGATGTGGAAGAATGCACATTTGGGAAGCTCCTCTTCTTGATTGGCAGATAAGCAAGCAACATCAAAGCCAAGGGCTTCCACTTGATGCCCCAACCAAGCCTGTCTGGCAAACAGGCACCAAGTTTCTGGCATAGCTTATAGCTGAGTCCTTGCAGCAGCTTTTAAATTATACTTCAGAAATTTCTAATTAGTAGGAGTAAGCCCCATTTTCAGGCAGGGACTCAGGCCCTACTTGGTTGTGCTCCAGCCCCTTAAGTCTGAAGAAAGGACTGCTGCTTAGTAGGTGAGAGCATTCCTAAGGACAGTCTTCCATTCCTGGTACAGCTTCCTCAGCTTGGCTTCTCCTTGCATGCAGAGCAGGAAGGCAGCCAGTAGCAGACCAAACCTAGCTGGTGGGCATCATTCTTTCGGCTGTAATATTCCCACTACATGATTCCCTTCTTTTCATGAGGAGTTGGATTGATGTGTGGTAGGAAGCAACTGGATAGCACTTGAGGTAGGTCAAATGGGGCACAGTAGTGGCTTCTACTCCCTTTCAGCCACCCATCCCCTTCTCTCTCTGAGATCAGCATTAGTAACTCCCAGGAACTGAGGCATGTGTTAAAAGACATTCTCTTCATGAAAGACATTCATGTACAATTCATCCTCCCAACTCAAAATGAGATCTGCTCAGCAGCTTGTATAGAAGTAATTTAATATCTGACTAGTGAGTATAGAAAACTGCTTCTAAGGACTACACCTTGCAGTTGACAAATTGCAAAGACAGCTTTGCTGCATTTTTCCTCCAACTAAGTTTCACAGGTCCTTGCACAATTTCGACTTACAACCTGACTCCTGGAAGCATGCAGTGGATACTTACTGGGGCCTCTAAAATAATATTCAAGTCCTTCAAGCTTAAAATCTCATCCTGGAGCAACAGTAGTGATGTAAGGATTGAGATCTCTGTAGCATCTGTTGATCCTGTGAGCTATCTCCGCAAAGCTTTCCAAAACAGATGATTCCAGTTACCTGCAACTTTGGATACATTTGTAGAATTTCTTGTTTGATGCAGCATCCATAGTATGATTATCCTTTTAGTTTAATCTTATGGACAATGTCTTCAAGAATGGAACTTGTTTGGTCAGTGCTGTACATAAGCCTTAGCTGCTATCCCGAGATTCAGCAGGGAAAAATACTTTCATATATCCCCCACATATTCCTCATTCAATCCCAATATTAGCTTGCTCTGTATGTTTGGGGAGGCTTACTGTCCTGTGTAAAGCCCTCCTTGGAAGACAAATGGCAGTATGTAGCTGTGAAAGGAGCCCTCTATTTCCTCAGGGTTTTTGAACATCTAAATAGACTGTCCCACCCTGGAATCACTGAAGAAAGGAAAACCTGAACATAAATTTCCATTCTCAAGGATTCCAAGGTAAGGCAGTCTTCTCACCCAGTAAAGACCATTAAAGGTGTAAAAATTGGATCAGAGGCAGAAGCACAAACCAGTAGCCTCTGGTTTGTTATTTATTACATGTCTGAATCAGCATCCAGTGTAGAAGCTCAGAGTGGGATCTTCTAATATTCCATTGGCAGGTACAAGTTAGCATACTTATACTTGTTTTTCCTGCATTTTCATATATAGTTTTCACTCGTTAGAACTAAGGAAGGGGTTTTCTTCCAGACTCTGGGCTTGGTCTCTTAGATGAGGAAGGTCCTTCTCTTTGTAATTTCTTGAGGTCTTTCTACCAGTTAGGAGGAAGCACTTCCCAAATTTCTAGATTGAGAATGGAAAATTAAAGTAAGTTCAGATTTTCGTTTTTGGAGGGCAGAGGGATAGGAATAATTGGATCAAGGAACAAGCAGAAGTTTTAGGACCTATTAATGTTAAGGTATATAGGAATTATGAATAATGTAGAGGGCAATCACAGATGTTCCACACAACCTACTTCATAGGGTTGTTAGAGGAGAAAATGAGAGGAGAATTATATAAGCCACGCTGAATTCTTTAAAAGGAAAAAAGGTGGGATATAAATTTAATAAATAATCATAAAACAGGTATTTCAGCCTTTTTAGTTTGTTTCAAATCATAGATTTAGATTGCATCCAAACACTACAGCTTAAAACACAACATGGACATTGCCCTACCAATCACCTGTAGCAGAAAATTGTGCATTGTATTGTTTTCTCACATCTCCAAATGCTCACTTTTTTGGCAGCAGAAGCACAGTAGAAGTTTTCTCACTACATAGACATATACTAAATGAGTACCTCTTTATGATATCACTGTTGCCAAACAGTCAATTCATAGGCAATAGCTGTCACATAACTAATCACCGAAATCCATCACTAGAAATGTAAGGTACATGACAGATGAAAAATAAGAATGCAATGTTAGAATTTTTCCATCTACACCCTGATCACTGATGGAGGGCCCTACTCTATTCCAATTGTGGGATCAGATGCCCAACCAAGTAGATAGACGTCAATTTCCTCTGTTAACCTGAATGGCAAAATACTGGTCTGTGGGGAATTTCTGAATGTGCTTTGGTGTTACTGTGTTGCTGGCACTTACTGTGTGATTCCTCTACGTGCATTGATGATGGTGGTAATTTTCATGAGAAACTTTCTATTAAAAGCTCTCAGTCAAATTGAAACATTTTTATACCTTTAAGTAGATCACAGAATATTTTATCTTATCTCTACCTCAGGTTACACTGTAATCTTATTAGATAAGAATTCCTGCTAAAGAAACTAATTACTGTTTTGCTTTGTTTTTAATTACAGCTCAGTGCAATAACTATGAAAAGAAAAAAAGCTGCCTCCTTGGTGGAGCTGGAAAATATTTTAAAGTAATGTATTGTTCTTTATACAGTATTGAGACATTAGCATCTGACATGCATGGTGCTGTGATATTTTGCAGAAATTCTGTGTTGCTTGAACACAGAGAAGTATTATAGTTTTGCATTCACATTAAGCACTAGACCAACAATTGGAAAAAATAATGTATTGAAGCAAAGTCAGAGGAAAGTATTTCGTCTCTTTCTCTGTGTATAAATAAAAATACCATGTACCATGTTCCACATTCATGCTCTTATAGTGAAAATCTTTCTATAAATTTTCACCAACTTAGAAAAAGTTAACTGCTGGATTAGAAACCTTAATTGTATGACTAATTCATCAAGTTATGTAATTTTCATTGACAATAAACCCATTTTTCAAATAGCAGTTGTTCATATGTTGTCCATATGTAGAACTGGGTATCTAGCAATGGCATGTTTATTAATAGGATACTTTTAACATTATAGCACATTTTTCCTTGGACATCAACTGTAATAGTCAAACACTGAGTCTTCTCTGTATAGTTCTGTTGCAGTTGCATGTAAGTCTTCCACTACACTAACTGCTACCTCAAAGCTGCTCTTTACAACATTTTGAGTATCACAATTTTATAAGTGGTCTAGCATGAGAACTAAGGTCTCAGAATCAATGGTTAATCTGTATCTAAGAAAGTTTGTAACCTGTGCTCAGATATAAGCCTTTGAGGAACAATGGATAAGTTAGAAGGGGTATCTGTAGTTTGGTCCTGAGGAACCTCTTCCTTTTGCTGAAGCATAATCTGTTATCCATCCAGTAGAATTGCCTCATAAAATTAGCACCCCAGGCAAATTAACAGGACCCTACATGTGTAACTTAAGATGTTTATTTAGAGTGAGTGTCACAGTAGGATTTCCAAGAAAGAAAAGCAGACCTGAGATTTCAGGTCTTCACAAAGGTGAGGGAGAGCTTATTAAAAGCAATAGCATACTATCTTGTGAGTGTGTGATTAGAAAGCACAAGTTATTGTAAATTATCCCAGGAGGAAAGGGAGGGAGAATGAGATGGAAACTGAAGGAGATGGTAATAAGCCAAGCACAACTACACTCAGGTGGGTTGAAAAGTGAGAAAGAGAACAATAAGCTTCAGAGGCAAGGAAGAAGGAAAGAAAGGGGATTTATTATCTATCTGTTGTCTGCTGTGACAGAGAAAGGGGGAATCCTCAGTGCTGAGTTAGATCTAAAAACCAAGAGGAAAATCAATACGGATTCCACTATGCAGGAACATCAGGTAATAGGAATGAGGACAATCACCTAGCCAGGGATTCCAAGCAGAGTACCTGTTCTTGGAGAAAATAAATCTTGGAAAATTAACAGGATGCTAGACCAAAACAATGGAATGTATTGCAAAATGTACAGCATTTATTCACATACAGACAAAGGCACAATTCTACTAAATATTTTAACAAAAAATACAGCCATCTTCAACTAGGTCTTTATAAATACTTCAAAAAGGGGAGGAAAATAAATACAGGATTGGGCCATGTAATATAAAATAGTCATCTCTACATATACTTTATTTCTGATTCTATCTGTTTTGTCATGCACCTGTTCTCAAATTTGAGCAAAATGGACACCAAAGCTAGGCACATAGTGAAAAATCCTCTGTACAAGGTTTTACAAATGTAATGACAGGCTTTTTTTCTTTTTTAAAATAATAAAGATTTGTACATATGAGACATGTATAACCTTTCGTTCATTAGACTGGTGTTATGTGTATGCATCCAGTACCTAACAGAGAGCATTCCAGTCAATATTACAAAAGGGTTTATTAGCCTACATTTCAATGTAGTACACCAATTATAATCAAAGGGATTTCTTGGGCAGTCTGCATAAGGAAAAGGTGAAGGTTAACCAGAAATCTCAACTGTTTCCATATCAACAAAATGAATGCAGTGGTAGGTAAAGATTACTGCTTTTATGATTCTTCACTTATTAAATATTAAGTATGGTATGAAACTTATACAGCTGGTCATACTGATATTTTCCCCTCCTTCTGCAGTTAGTCTATGGGGGAAAGCATTATTTATTTTTTTCTCTTTCCTTTTTTAAATTTTTGGTTCAGCATTATTCAAAATATCAGAAAGCTTATTAACCTAAACATGGTGGGGAGCAAAACAGGTAAGGCATTCTTCTGCACAAATGCTAGCATTCCTAATAGTGCAAATGTTATCTGATACCTCTTTCAAACTTGGTCGAAACATTGAATATTTTCTCAGAATCAAAACCCTCAGTTTATTCCTTCTATGGCTTGATGAACAACACCCTAAAGGGCAGGCTAACTCTCTCAACCCTCACCTGAAAAACTTACTGTATTTAAAAGTATATTCATCAAATCCCTCTTTTCCTATTATTTAACATGAACTTTGTCTGCTTTTTAAAGAAGCAAACCCGGTCAACATACCTGCAAAATACAAGTAGTTAATTAATCAGATGCAATAATGCCTTTTAGAACTAACTCATTTCAGTTTCCAGTTGTGGCCTAAAATCTTTAGAACTGAGGCCCAAAAGTCTTAACCTGCTTGTTAATCCTATTTGTCCTGACCCAAAGGCTATCATCTGCATGGACTACATTGGACACAGAGATGTGCAGGAGAGACTTTTCCATTCACTTCTGTTTTGTAGAATATCCCTGCCCACACAGAGCTCTGCCTAAGCGCCACAATCCCAGCATGTAAAGAGTAGCTACAGGACTAGGGCGATTACATACACATTAAGGCTCAATTTTGATAATCCTCCAGCAATCTGAGGATTCATCAACAGGCAACAGAGTTGCACTCTTCATTCAGGCCCACGTTCAGTTTTCTGTTTAGCACTAATCGTTGTTAGCTGTAGTATCTGACTCTTCAAACTCTAGCATTTGCCCTCCAAACAACAATCAAAATCCTACTTTGAAGTATAGTTTCTGGTTTTGTTTGAAAAGCAAATCACTAACCATAAGATAGAGTGGTTAGTGCTAACCCAGAAACTGAAAGGAGTAAAAGAACAGAGACTTTGTGAGCCCACAGCTCATTTCCAAAATATGGAGCAAGTGGAGATGAATTTTGAGGGCTAGTTCCCAGATTACATGATCATGGGAATTGCTGCTAATTATATCTACGTTTCATGAGTTCACACATTACCTTTTTCCACTGTCCAACAGATTATGTCTGTTTGCATGTAAGAAAAGTATGTGTAAACCTCCCCAAATATAGTTAGTACTGATCATGCAGGGACTTGCATAGCAAGATGTAACAGCAACAATCCAGTTCTCAGCTGAAACCCCTGGAAGACTTGAGTCAGATTGCAAGGTTTCAACATTGCTTTCATAGTGTTATAAACCCACCTCATTAAAGACAAACCTACAGTGAGAATATACAGTAAGTGACTGCATATTTATGTTGATGGATTGGGAGGAGGGTTGTCCATAAAAAACAATACAACTACTGCTGCTTAAACTTTTTAACTAGGCTATATGTCTAATTTTATATCCGAGTTGAGTCCCAGAAATTACAGCAGCCTAAAACTACCTATGTATCCTACAAATGCACTCTCATGGGTGCAGAAAATAGACTCTTAGTGATCTGTTCATCTTATTATTGCTGATGGCTTACTCTTTCTAGTTATTGCAATTTTTTGATGATGTAACCAGAACACAAGCTCCTTCTTGGTCAAATCTAATCCATATCATGGAATCATGTTGTTAAATTGGCTTAAATGTAAAGCACTACTCACATCTTATTGCCTTTCCATTTTATTCAAAAAATATACATATATATTTATTACATCCTTCTTTTTGTATTTAAAGTAACCCTTGCGTGTAGGAAACTTGCATATCCCAACACATACCTTTAGTGCACATTGGAAAAGGCTGCTGACCAGTGCCTTTAGAAATGTCAGCATATCTTCATGGCAAATTTCAACCTGTTTTACTTGTCATGGCTTCTCCCAAGGGCCCCTGGCAACTGTAGTCTCACCCGTTACAGTTTCCAAGAGGGAGAGGAGAAAGGTAATGAGCCATGCTAGAAAAATGATTCATATCTGCAGTGTAGACATGCTCAGTCTTTCCCACTTGAATTGTCATCGTATTTTGGATTGGCAGGTGCCAGCTAAAGCAGGCTACAAACCTACCTACCTCCTCAGAACAATACAAAGTACTTTAAGACATAGATGCCCTCCAAATTTGTGGAGCTGAGTCATTTTCATCCACTCCTTAGGCTCCCTTCAGAATAGCACTATGTGCTGCTGTTCCTGGTTGGTTGTCATTTTTTTTTTTTTTTTGAACTATCGGGCAGCTTGGTTCTACCCCTTCAGGTTTCTAGTAGTCATCATAAATTCTTACCTGCTTGATAGACTTGGCATGACAACTCTTCTGGGGTTATAATAGGTTTGAACTGCCAAAACCCCCTGAATTTTAAAACAACAAAACAAAGTTGCAGACTACTAGGACTTCGTCTTAGTGCAGCCTGATGAAAGTGACAATTTAGAATGGGTTAAGCAGTGCAGGTGGTTATTACCACCATATTTCTTTATCCTCTTGTGTATTAACACCTTGTGCTTTTCAGGGACAGAGGAAGCTCCTCAGTGCTATCTGCCTAAACCAGGGTCTCCCCACTCAAAATCTACCCCACTGAGTATTTGATTTTTCTTTTTATTAATTAGTGTTCAGCCTATTGATCAATTGGAGCAATAAGGTCAATTTCTCAGATGATTTCTTCAGGGCAGCTGCAGATAAAGAAGCTTGAAACCTCACAGACATGAGGATAGGCAAAGGGCAAACTCTTAGTCAAGTGCACATAATTCTACAGCCCAAGGAAAACAAGTAAATTGTTGGTTGATCTTGTAGCCATGTCTAAAGACCCTCCTCCTTGTCACACCAATAAATAATGCAGAGTGGATTTTTTTTCCAAGCTGGGGATTCACTGACTCCAGTGCTGCTACTGTGTGTCACTCTCCAGTCAGGAAGCAAGGATGCTTCTCCTAATAATTTCTGTCCTTCTAGAAATAGTGCTATTTGAACTGAGCCTTTGCTGCCTGCATTTCTTGTCAGCCATTTCTGTTTCTGAATCACTCATCTCCGCATCAGGGGCATACCCGTCATTCTCGCTGTCTACCTTTAGGTTGCTTTTCACTCTGTCTTTAGGGGAAATTCGACCCAAGCCCGAGTAAGAATAGTTCGAGTTTTGGCGGCACGCCTCTTCCTGCCCCTCTCCCTGCCCCTCTCCCTGCTGCTGTCTTTCCCCTTTCTTTGGAATTCGGAATCCTCCCCAGTTTTTCACAGGGCTTCTGGGTGTCGTAGGCACTTTAACTGGAGCTGGGCTATAGTTCATTTTGAAAAAGGAGCCATTGCATTTAGGCACCATTTCCCTCCGGGTTCCAGGCGCTGACCTGCCACTTGGGTGGTTCATGGCCCTTTTGTTCTCGAATTGCCTCTGAGAGAGTTCACTGGATCTCAGGGGTTTGTGGTTGTGTTTGGGAGGTTTCTCCTTCAGTTCTACTTTCATCACATCACAATGGGAATGATTGTCTCTTCTCTTCCTGTGGTCTGCTGTAACAACCCCATTCTTCTGTTGTGCTGATCCAATTTGTGCTTCTGCAAAGGACTTTTCAAAGCTAAAAAAGCTACCGGGAGTTGCAAGACCTTCCCTTTGACTGGGCTGCTTAAGTAAACGTTTGTCATCATGCCCAGAGTCAATCCTCAGTCGTTCTCTTTTCTGTGTTTTTTTCAAAGAGTGACTCAAAGACATGCCCATTTGCTTTCTGAAGAAAGCTGAATGCCATTTCAAATCCTCTATCTTAGGTGCATCTGGGTCCAGTGGTGAACTGTTGAAGAGGACCATATTTTCCATAGAAGAGAAAGAGGAAGGCATGCCTGGGAAGACACAAACAAATGGATTCATGGTTATCTGAAGCAAACTGCAATCATTTCTGAGTGTTGTATGTTCATCACCTTTTCACAAAACTTTACCTTAGATCCAGCCTAAGGGTGCAATGCTATGGCTGGTAGACACTGACTGGCTAGCCACAGAAAAAAGATCTGAGTTCTCACTGTGACCTGACTAAAGCCCCCTGAGATTGCAGTGGGGTCTGCATCCTTGCAAAGCCCTCCCTCCACTCTCACAGATAGAACATGCTGGTTGAGGTCCAGAGAGTGGAAGACCAGAGCAGGTGCTGTGGGGTGGTAGGGGGAGACACCACTATGGTGCAAAGTATCCAGGCTGTGCCACAGCCCCTCCTCATAAGCCAGGGAACAACATCCAGATGACGGAGAGTGCAGAGGCAATCTGTACTCTATGCTGCTCCTGCACTCAACTGAATGCCTGTAACTTTCCAAAACCAAAGGGTTACAGGCAGCCACATAAGATGGCTCTCTAAATTAACTGTACATACATGCAAAGTTACCCATACATATAACTCTTATCACTGAAATCTGCAGGACTTTCAAGAGGTGACCTTCAGTGAGATTCTCTGCATTTTGTCAGCTGAAACCAATGGAACATGGTGTGGATTCAGAATAGGTTCGTTTAAAGCTTATACTCCATACAAAATTAGAATGACCGCTTGTAGTAAAATATTGCAGCATGAGGGTCCATACACACTTATGCACATCTATGATCCACCAAATTTAAAGCAGCCCTCTGGGGATTCAGTCAGCCTGGTTTTGCAATCTGCATTGGGGCTGCAGAACAAGTAGTAGGGTCACAAATGTGCTAGGCCACAATACATTGTGGTCTTGGCTCAAGGTGTTACAAGAAACCTGTACAGACCTGTTGGTTGTAACACCTGTCCAGACACCAAAATGAACTGTCAGCCTTATCTGATCAAAGACTTCCTGTACCATATAAGAATTCCTAGATCAGTGGATTAATTGGGGGAAGGGTCACTGTGCAGCAGCAGCTAAATCACTGTATGTGTGTGTCACTTCCCCAAGCATGATGTTAAGCCAGCATCACGTGAAAGTGGCAACAGGGCCACAGATGCCAAACAGCAGTGCCAAAGTTTCAGTAATCGGGTTTTAAGGCAGCTAAATTGGTGCAGCTGATTAATGACTGAAATCGGAAGGTCATCCAACTGTGGCAGTTTCCTGCTGAATGAGCACTTCTGCCTTTGAAGAACACAGAGTTACAACTCAGCTACCTATTTCTTCAGGGTTTATGCTTTTAAAGCACTTTCTGAGTGGCAAGCCATATTAAAGAAAGGTCATCGTTCCATTTCGTTTCTAACTGTCTCCAAAGCACTTTGCCTGTCAGAGCAAGACACTCAGGTTTAAAGAATGTGATAAAAAGGCAGACATTTCTAGCGCAATTCATTTTTAACATAATAGACTCATGGAGCTCTGTTCTCCCGACAGTATTTTTCTCCTTGGCCATATGATAAATTTCTATTATTGTTGAAAAGTCAAGTTGTCAACTGTTGGTAAAAGGAGGTTAAGTGTGGTGAACAAGGATGCATTGTTTGTCTTGCGACATTTATGCCCTTTGCTTTATAAAGGACAAGAATAATTTCCAAATGAATACCAGGGAGAGGGGAGGAGTAAGAATGATATACCTTATTTCATAATCCAAGCAGAAAATGAAAGGCTTATCCATGTGGTAACAGTGAACATTAAATAACATTCAAATATATTTCCTTTAACAAACTGATTGTCATTAAATGGACACAATTTTTATATTTGAAATAATGCAGGTTTTGGAACTGTGCCCTCCCCTAAAACACAGTTGTCAACTTGGAAGTGTAGCATGAGCGCGAGAGGGCAAAGAAACTTTTTTCCATTTACCCCTGCTCTGCTACTAGGTAAAGTGGCAATAAAAACAAAAACTTTCTTAAACATTGAAATTGTCAGGATCAGGGTCTGAATGCGCACAGAACCAGGAGCACCTTTGGGGGCACTTGCAAGGAGCACCTGTGGAGCAACTGTGCAGTGCAGCTGGAGACCCTGAAGACCAGCGCAAAACGCTTCCCTACACTGCCGCTCCTTGCCACAGCAATGCAAGCGTCCTGGTGGCTTCTGCTTTTCTATGCCTTGTTCCAGTGCCAGCTCGTTCCTGCCTTGCACAAGCCCTGCTCCAGTTCGTTCCTGCCTTGTTCAAGTCTTTTCCCACCTTGCTCCAGCCAGTGCCCTTCCCACTCTTCCCATTTTCCTCCAAGCAGACCCTGCTCACTCCAGCCTGCTACAACTCTTGCATCAGCGTCTCTCCTGCAAACTAACTTGGGAACTATGCTCTCACACTCACTCACTCTTCTCTTCTCTCTATCTCTCGTTCACTGACTTGCTCCAAGCCTCTGGCCCACAGTAAGCTCCAGACTCAGCTCAAGCTCACACCCTGAACCCGGCATTCTGCCACTCCTTGCTGCTGCCCATGGGCCGGTCCTCGTAGTTTCTATGACCCTTCTACGCCCCGTCCAGGTTTTCAGCGTGAACGCTGAGATAGCCAGCATTCTGCAAACCTTGCAGAACCAAGTCACTACCTTGCAGGCTGAACTTCTTGCCCTGCAAGTGGCTAGTCCTGCTGCGCTGCCGCCGCTTCAGCAAGCCCCACCACCTCCCCTGCCGGCCCACTTTGATGGGAACTACGAGGCTTCCTGAATCTGCAATCTGTGACCTGAGGCTTACCCTACTCCACACAGTTGTATTTGCCTCATGGTGAGCCTGTTCTATGGTGTATCCCCTGCTAGAATGGGATGACCCTATCTTGGGGAACCAGGGGAATTTCACAGCAGCACTGAGAGGCATGTTTGGCCATGCAAGCACGCCCACACCACTAAGCTGCCCTTCCAGGCTCTGCAGCAGGGCCTCCATTCCATGGCTGAATATGCTGCAGAATTTCAATGTCCTGCCAGTGACACCTTGTGGAATGAACCGGCACTGCACTTCCATTTCCAGCAAGGTTTAAACTCAGCAATTAATGATGAACTGGACAGAACTGATCCTCCTCTTCCTTAGTAATCTTAACAGCTGATTTCCAGAGTCTTCTGGTGGCCAACCCTTCGACCTGATGTCCAGAAATTCATGTGGTCTTGTGAGACCTGTGCAAGGGCCAAGGTTCCTCCCCAAAAGCCTACTACAACCCCACCTGGCACTTTCCAAGACATAGTCTGTAGTGTCTCTAGATTTCATTGTGGACTTGCCCTCATCCCAGGATCACAGTGCCATCCTGGTAGCAGCAGAGCTGCTTACTAAGATGGCCCACTTTGTTCCTCTTCGCTGAATTCCTAACGCATTGCAGACAGCCCACCTATTCCTCACTCACATCTTCCACCTCCATGGTCTACCTGAAGTGGTTATTTCCAATAGAAGGCCTCAGTTCACCTCCTGCTTCTGGGCAGGCTTCCAAGAACTCCTGGGCATCCAGAAAAGGTTGTTGTCAGTCTACCACCCACAGATGAACAGACAAACTGAGCGGGTCAATCAGGTGTTGAAGCAGTACCTCTGCTGCTTCCTCACGTACCACCAAGAGGCCTGGGTTGACCTTCTGCCCATAGCAGAATTTGCTTATAACAACATCTGCCATGCCTCCACCAGGCATAGTCCTTTTTATGCCAATTTTGGCTACCACCCTCAAGATCACCCATGAACCCCAGTCACAGCTCTAGCCCCTTCCGCTGATGACTATGTCACCCACCTCCAGAAGATTCACCAAGAAAAGCACTGCCTAGAAGCAGCTAAAGCTGCCTACAAAGCCCAAGAAGACCAACACCATCAGGAGGGGGCCCCATTAAAGTGAGAGACAAGGTTTGGCTCTCTTTGGAACACTACTGATCCCACCATCCCTTGGCCAAGCTTGACCACCAATATCAAGGGCCCTATCCTGTCATTCAACAGATAAACCCCGTGGCCTTTAGATTAGATCTCTCCCACACCCTGAAATTCCACCCAGTCTTCCACATCTCCGAGCTGAAGCTCCACCACCCCATCTGTTTCCAGGATGCACCGTTCCACCTCCCACACCTGTAAAAATAGATGGACACAAGGCCCAGATTCTGGACTCTCGGAGGTCTTGTGGAAGACCATCGCTGAAGCCAGCATGGCAGGTGGGCAGGGTACAGGGAAAGGAAGAACAAGGTACCACCATCCTCTGAAGAATTCCACCAGTGCCTCAACTGACAAGAAGGGAAAAAACTTTTATTTGGTTGACACTGGTGGTCTAAATGTTCTGGAGTGCAAGCTGAACCTGGATGCAATCCTATTCTTCTTCTTCTTCTTCTTCTTCTTCTTATTATTATTATTATTATTATTATTATTATTATTATTATTACATTTCTATGCCGCCCCTTGCCGAAGCCTCCTAGTCTCCTAGTCTCTATGCTTTTCCCACCTTCATTGGATGCCTAAAATCCCCTGAGTTCACAGAGTTATGGACAACCACACATACTGAACACACCAGAAACACACATAAATATACATTTACATTGACTTACACTCAATCTAGACAAATAGTAGGATATTAGTCAAAAGCAGAAGACCCATAAAGAATGGGAGAGGTACATAATGGAGGTTAAACAATGTGGGAAGTAACCACAAGAAAGTAACCAATCAGTCTTACACAGACCTGGTTCACACGACATGATAACCCACCACAGGTAACTAGCATTGTTGGGTTGCAGGGTCATCCAAATCCAGACCACTTCTCATAGGGTGGCTTATTTATTATGAACAAGCCACGCTGACAACCCATGGCTTGTCCTGGGCTTGCTTATACCACAGCCCTGCGGATTCCAGGGACTGACAAAAATCCCTGCCAGTTCACAATTTCATTCTGATGCCACCAATGACTTCCCCCCTCCAAGTGTCATTTTTGGAATGACTGTCACTGGTTCCCTACCTGTTTAGTTTCAGTGCCACAAAACTGAAAAATTGTTGATTCTTCTTGTGGGGATGGTTGTAGTGGTAGTATGCAAATACATACTTACTGCTACCCAACATGTGTGGTCTTGCTTGGTCAATGTCCTTGCGTGTTTCAGTTACTGAAGGGAACAGTAACATACATCGAAACTGGCAAGGGGAAACTGCATAATGGCTAACTGGTGCACAGCTGACCAAGGTCAACTGCTAAGTTGTTACTAAAAAGTACGAATAATGGGAGGGGGAGGAGCAGTAAAAGAAGGTGCCCCAAAACAGAAGGCAGCATCTCCCATTAAGCAACATAATTCTCTTAATGTTTATGTTGAACTGACAGTTCTCCATGTCCTCCATCTTTTCAACACTTCCCAGAATCTCCAGCTACTTCAAGAAGTAGAGATATTAATCCCATCACCTTTTCATGGTTCCTTTTTGGTGCACTTACTGCTGCAATTCCCTGACAGTTCTCCAAAACCTCAAATGTAATGGCTGGAAAGGAACTAGAGAAGAAATTTGTATCACCTGGGAAGGACCGGGAAGAGACTGGGAAGAGGGGAAATACCCACACATAGAGTAATCAAGGGGATAACATTGCTAAGGGGCGGGGGGAATATTATCTCATTCTTGGTGCACTTCTTTTGCTGAATTTTTCTCTTCCTTTCTCTCTGGTGCTTTTCAACTGATTATTTGACAACTGGTCCCTGGCAAGTGTGTGAAACAGCCTGTTTACAGTCTTGTGTTATCAACTTCCATGTATGTTACCTACTTTACTTTGCCACCCCCTTTCACACATGAAAGATACAAGGAAACTGACCATGCAACACTAAACATACCAGACAGCTATGAGAGCTTACTTGCAAAAGATCAGGAAAAAAATAATTTTGAAAAATGAACTCAGTTACACAATTTTCAGGTGCAACTTTTTTTTTTAAAGCAACTTTGTGCTTTTTTGAAATGCTAGAAAATGTAACAAGAAAAAAGAACAAATAAAAAGGGACAGCAATTGGACTGGGAAGAAGGAAGCAAGACAAGTTTTGCTGCAACAAACACTGGGCGCAAGCTGGACGACTGAGGGGAGGGAGGTGAAGAAGAAGCCATAGTATACCCAATCCTTCAGGCATACCATGGGTTGTTCTATGAATAATAAGCATCCCGTGACTTAGTTTTTAGGGTGGCTTAACCTGACGTGCAAACCCACCTATACAGTATAAACATAAATAGCTAATGATTTTATTACTGTCTAGAAAGAAAAAGACAACCTTTAACCAAATACCAGAAGACTTCTGGAAAAGATCAGCTGAGAGCTCTAGCAAGGGCCACCTGTCCCTCTCCTAGGAGCCCACTGGATGAGAGGAAGGCGGAGGAAAGAGTTGGGAACATGGGAAAGGAGGGAAAGGCCACATTCACCATTGACCTCCTGGATAATGTGTTCCAGACTTTCCATAGAGCTTCAGCTATTGGTTGGTATCAAAATATTATAAGCAAGGCAGGGGTGAGGAAACTCTCTTGCCTCCAAGGCTAGATCCTGAGCCTTCTGACTCATCCCCAGGAGAAGGGTGGGCTCTTCTCTCTCGGTGCCAGAGGCTCATCCCCTAACATCATGAGGGTCTCTTTCTTTCCACAGGCATGGAACACTTTCATGCAGAAAGTGTCAAGAAATGATCACTCTTCTCTCCCAGGATAGGAAAAGAATAGCTTTGACAAAGGGCAGAGAGGTATCTGTTCTCAATTACTGGAAGAGGAGCCTCCACACTGTTATTTCCAATCAGTGATTCTCTAGTGCTGGAATCCCCAGTTGCCTTTTTCTGGCACTGGCGGAGAGGATGCTGAGCCTGAGAGGGAACCTCTGTGGGAAGAAGTTCCCCACTGCTGCCTACAGAGAGGTTGCCCTCGGCGGATAACAAGTTTCCCACTTCTCCATGACCTAAAGAGAATTAAGTTATGCAGTACAAGGCAGTAACGGAGACGGAGCTGCTGACAGTCATGAATTGACAAAATCAACACATCAGAGCTGCAGAACTTAAAGCGTGTTATATCATAGTTTATGAGGGGAAGCAAATAATCTCAATCTAAAACAGGCAGCAAGTGGCAAGTCACATAAATAGGTGTACCAATAGATATTCTTAATACATTTTGATGAAGCCATCCCCAGGAACTTAAGCCAGAGAAGTTATCAGAGCCTATTCATATTCACATATTAAAAATGTTTGCTGAGTTTCCCTCCAGTTTTGCAGGTGCAAAGACGTCTATGCCAAAACGTAAGAAATGTGGGCCAGTTAAATGTATTATTGTGCAGCATAACGTTATGACATGAATTCAGCTTTCAGACCAATATGCCAACACTTCTTGTCATGCCATACTCAGAAACTACAGAAGGCAACAGAACTCACCTGAAACTCTTTCATGCTCTACAAGATTTGTGTAGAGATTGAATATCTGCTCTTGGACTTTACAAACAGATCTTTTAATTTTTTCCCGTCGGGTCACCATATACGTGAGGTTTCGGACCTAAATTAAACACAAAAATATGCACAATTACTGAGACACATAGAAAATACAGACATTATTCTGAAGTTAGAAAATGGGCAGATCTGCAAGAGGGAACTGTCTCAAGGATCAGAAAGCTTTTAAAAAATGAAACACTGTAGTTCTTGAACATAAACGTGACTTCTTAATTGAATTAAAAAAAACCCTTAGCAATGGCACTAAGGTTTCTCAAGGAGGAAAGGGGTTGAGAATTCACTCCTTCCACCACACCCATCCAATTCCACAGACCTGCGGCTGTCTATGTTTACTCAGTGGTGAAAGAAAGGCATGTGACACAAGTGCAGAGGATCTCTTCTTTCTTGCTAGTTTGCACATTCCAGAACCAGGCTCCAGCATTCCAAGTAAGTTCCACACCACAGCAGTAACACATACACGCAGCCTTTGGACCAGCATCATCCCCTCTGAGGAAGTGTTCATGCCACGCTCAATAACCCCGAACAAGCTGCATTAGCTGCACTTATATAGTTTCCACAAGTCATCAGGGCTATAGCCCACTTACGAGCACAGCCCAAACCTTTGCCATCCTGATGCCTTTCAGCTGTTGTCGTTCAGCAGTTCAGTCATATCTGACTATAAGTGATCCTATGTGCCGAATATCACCACACTTTCCGATCCTGTGCCACCTCTTTCAGCTGAACCATGCTCTGGCTCACATCCTCTTTCAAGTAGTCTAACCAGTTTGCTCTTTAGCAACTTGGTTTTCTATTGCTGCTGAGCCTTCCAAGCGTATTTTTTTCTAATGAGCTTGATCGCATAACGTGGCCAAAATACACGAGTCTCAGCTTGGTTATCTTGCCAACCAGGGATGCATCTGGTTCCAGCTATATTGAACTACAACTCTCACCATCGTCTGCCAGCACATTCAGTGGCTATTGTGGCTGGGAATGATAGGTGTTGTAGTCCAACACAACAGGGAGGCACCAGGATGGAAAAGGCAAGCACAAGAGCTTTGGGACAAACATCCTGCTATCTCACCTAGAAAGGCTTCCCTATTCCCTCTAATGAAGGATATTAGAGTGGACCCATGAGCTAGAATCTTTTCAAGATGCCTCAGCCATCATCTGCTTCTTCTCTCTGAACTTAGGAGCACTGTAGTTACTAGGAGACCCTAGGACTCACCCTTCTAGCAGACTAATGGGGAGGTACTGTTAAGACACCAGCCTTTTAAACTCAAGAATTGGCAGCCACCTTTCTTCCCACAGTCTGCTCATTACTTTCCTTAAGTGCAGAGTTCAAAACTAGCTAGCAGAATCATCATCACAGACTTCTCGTGATGTGCTTGGCTCTGCAAAGACCTGCCAGCTAATCGCTACTGAGAAGAGGAAGAGCGTGCAATCAGCTGCACATATATCAGGTGGCGTGCCAGAGGCCTTCCTCATCTGCTGCTTCTACCAAGCTTAGCTTTCAAAGAGAGGTTGAAGGAACAGCACTGTCTAAATTTAGGACAAGACTGGCATTTGTCTGGAGCTCTTTCACCCAGCAATCTTCTTTCTGGAATGCACCTGCTTCTTGCATAAGCAATATAGCCAGACTTAGTGGGTGCATGATCCTCCTTGGCATCAAAAATTTGCACTAGCACAGCCAGTAAGTCTGACCAGTCAGAATTCTCAGAAAAATTATCAACCTACCCACTAAGTCTACGTTCCAAAAATAGATGCTGACAAAGAAATCAAAAACTGTTACGCAGGTTTCCAAGAGGAAAACTGTAACACGTCAAGGAAAGGTACGCTCATAATCATAGGTGCCTGGAACACAAAAGTAGGAAACAAAGCGGAACATATGGTGTGGAAAAGATGGCCTAGGCAGTACAAACAAAGCAGGAGAATAACTCCAGAATTATGTAAAGCCAAATGTGTGTTCAGGGCAAGTACATACTTTAGGCAACCAATCAGATGACTGTTCACAGGGACATCAAAAGGCAGCCAATACAGAAATTCAAATATGTGAGCAAACATGGAAAATAAAACAATAGCTCACTGACTGGAAATGTTCAGTATACAGCCTTAAGAAGATGCAAAAGACTGCAGCAACAAAGATTTTTATTCTGTACAGAGTCAAAAATGCCTGATGTTCAAGCTGGATCCCCAAAAGGAAGATGCACTTGAGATCATGTTACAAATATCTACTGGCTACTGGAGTGCACCAAAGAATTTCAGAAGACTATCAGTCTAAGTTTTCTAGACTAGAGCAGAGCTTTTGACAGTGTGGCTCACAATTAGCTATGGATGGTTCTAGTGCACCCCAGTTCCTGATTCTCCTGATGCATATCCAATATTGTGGACAAGAAGCTACCGTTAAGGCAGAATGAAGAGAAACAGAATGGTTTCCTAGAGGCAAAGGCATCAGAGAAGGGTATAGTTCCCCTTCTTTTTAATCTGTACACAGACTATATCCTAAGGAAATAGAGAAGAGTTAGAGAAAGGAGTGAAAACTGGCAGAATATAGTGAAAACTGGCAGAACAGTTCCAGAAAGAAGCAATGCATTGAAACGAATTCTTATGGAAGTGAAAGAAGAAAAGTATCAGCTGAACATTCAGAAAAGAAAGATAACTACAGAAGTATTGTACAACTTTAAGGTCAACGATGAAGAAATTGGAATGTTTGCATATCTTGGCTCAATTGCCTATTCAAAAAGAGATTACAGCCAATAAATTAAAAGACTGAGGCTCCAAAGGGCAGCGATGAACAAACCAGAAAAGATCATCAAGTTTAAGGGTATCTTGCTGGAAACCAAGATCAAGATGATCCACACTATGGAATTCCCTATCACTATGTATGGTTGTGAAAGGTGGATGGTAAAGAAGCTGACATTCAAAACATGGTGCTAGAGAAGTGCTTTGAGAACACACTGCACCAACAGAATGACAAGTAAATGGGTCCTGATCAAATCAAGCCAGAACCTGCACTTGAACAAAAATTACAAAACTGAGGCTATCATGCTGCGGGCTCATCATGAGAAGGCAAGACTCACTGGAGCGGACAAGAAAGCTAGGGAAAGCTGAAGGCAGGAGAAGAGGGAAACCAAATTTGAGAATCGATTCCGTAAAGAAAGCCAGTCTTGGATTTACAAGAATTGATCAGGACATTTAGGAGGACATTAATTCACAGGGTTGCCGTGAATCAGTGACGACTTGACAGCATGTAACAGCAGCAGCAAACAGAAAGATAAACAGATGTGGGAGGAGGCCGTGGTCTTCTTGCTCTTTTGTGCTCAAAAGCCATAATGTCTTGTGGGACCATCAAGATTCACAAATTTACTGTGGAATAATAAGCCTTCTACTCTAAGATTTCTTTGCTTGCCCCAAGCATTCTGTTTTCCTTATCTGGAGGTAGGTCTGAAAGACCAAGGAAGTTTGGGTACATGGAGAGTAACTTTAAAGCAAGCACAAATGGAGACACTGCACAGTTCTGTCCTGACAGCAAGTAAGAGGTTAATTAGCTTGCCTTTTCTACAATTTGTAGTAATCACTTCTAATTACACACAAATATTTACATATGCAAATTAGCACGTGCGCAGTTGCAGAATTGTTTGTCTTATGGGTCAAAGCCTTAGATCTAGTCAGTACCTAGCACCACCATGAAAGGGAAAGCCCCAGATGAGTTCATACAGGTGCCCATCCCACTGACGTAACTTGGGGAGCATCCTAAGGCAGAACACTTCTTACCTCTTTATTTCAACTGTTTCCCCATCCTCACCCTAGTTTGTACCTCTTAAATGGGAAGAATTCTTGCAGGTTGGGAGGCAACAAACATGAAGGGTGTGGATACAAATCCCTGCTAATCACTGTCCCATCATGCAGTGCACTCCTCTACACTGAGAGGAGTGCCAGAAAAGAGAGAGAAGGCATTTTTCCCCAAGCGTGTGCTCCCCAGATGTTGTGGATTTCAATTCCCATCAGCTCCAGCCAGCATGGCCAATGGACATTCACTCCGAGAGCTCTGCTCCCAACATCTGGATAGCACCTGGTGGGAAAGGCTGGAATAGAAGTTTCAACTCAAGTCTGCAAAATTAAGAACTCATCTTCCGTAGTCACTCTGCCTAGTGGCCACTAACTCTGTAGGCCAGGATCTCGGGGCCACGTAGACAGCCAAAGGTCTGTGTGTCTATCAGCTACACAAAACCTAATTTCAGGAATTTTGTGCCTGATTCTACACATTTAAGCATCAAGTTTCTTCCCTCTGCATTCCACGCCTGAATGAAGCACAGCAGCTTACCCTCTCCAAATCCTGCCGGAGGTGGGTGAAAAGCTGTAGTCGCCTGAACAGAACGTCCTGCTCCCGTTTGGCTAGATTGTCCTCTTCATCTTTCTTTGGGGTGATCAAAGGTTTGTTGAAGTTCGATTTCCTCTTTAGCTTCCAGTACTGATACAAGAATTCTACCAAGTCCTCTGGAAGCTGCAGGGCCTTGGCCACTTCCGAAGCGTTGACAAAGGCGTAAAATTCATCCTCCAGTTGTTGAAGCTTCTGCTTGCGAACACTGACCCTGTGAGCCTCCTCATGGTTTTGATCCATGCTGTCAAAGGGCTCTGTGTGAGCAGGAGAGGAACTGTCCTGTGCCCCATTCTCAGTCTCCTGGCTGGTGAATTCACTATTTTCTTCATCAGGCTTCTTCGTGGAACTGTGCTTTGGGCAATAGGATTTGAACTTGACTTCATCGTTGTCAGCCAGAATAGTCTTCATCTCCAAGCCACGGTCAAATGCACAAGTGACATGGAAGGCTGTACGGCAATTTTTCACTGAACACTGCAGCGGTAGGGGAAAAGGAGGAAGGTTAAACAACAAGGAAAACCAGTTTCACCAGCCAGTGCTGTTGATATTGTGCTACAAGTTGTCTATGCCAGCATAACATAATTTATATTAGCAGTGGCATCACACTAACATATTGCATGAAAGGTTTGTAAGTTTGTACATAATTGTGAAAGAACAAAAGTTTTTGTTGAGCTGACTCAAGTGCAAGTAGAGGTGAAATATAATTATAATCAAAGCCACTTAAATCTGAAGAACTCTAAATGAAATTTTGCAGCAGGAACAATAATTTCCTGCCTCTCCCTCCTGACTGCAGTTTCTTGGGCATCCCAAAAAGTAATTCCTGACTGTCAAGGGACCTTCCATGATGGCACTCAATGTAGTGTGAGGGCTATAACTGCAGAGGGTAATAGCAGTAAATCAGCCAACCAACACCCCCCCACACACACACACATCCATTTTGTGAACAGAATTACCTAAGAGAGTAACATTTTGTGACAGACAGAATTAGCATGAGAATTAATCTGTTTGCTGCAACTCTTAAAATGCAACTGGAGTTCTAACGGTATAAACCATATTTTGCATCACATTCACTATATGAATCAATAGATATATAGATCCAGTTAATGACACAAAACTAACTATACTCAGTATGTTCTGTATTGTGCATCATAATACTCATCTTTCTAATATCTTAAAAATATGAGGCATGCCAAGATCAGCACCCTGTCTAACAGCACAGTCTAATACCTCAAGAAAGTTCCATAAGGAGCACATGATAGTGGTATTCAAGCCCTGTTTTTCAGCATTCAGTGGTCAGAGGCATGTTATTTATTTAAGGTACCTACAGCCCTGGTTTCAGTGTAATTCACCAGGTATCTTAAAATGTAAGTTTTAAAAATGAGCTCATAAACTGCAAGCATAATATAATATTTAAAACTAACTGTAAATAGTGCCATCAAATTAGCTAAGCTATCAGAAGAGAAGCTGTTTAGGAGCCCAGATGAACAGAAGTGTTTTACAGTGTCACAAGTCAAATTAGGAACAAGACAGCACCAGCCCCAGAAAAAACCTGCTCCTGATTACTATCCATCCCTCCTCTGAAGGTGGAGTACCTTCTCCTGTAGATTGCAACCAAGGTTTAGTGTACCTGAAAGTGTTTAAGCTAGCTACCTCCAGCAGACCAAATAAATAGTCTTCCAGAACAGTGCAATTCATGCTACTTGCTGTCACAGAATCCTGTGACAGAGGTATAGTGCATGGTCTGCAAACCCATTAATACTGTAGCACTGTACCAGGAGTAGACCTGCTGATGAAAAACTGAATGGGAAACTACTAAAAACTCCACATAAGCCACTCTTGAGTTTCAAAAGAGCAGAGTTACAAAGAAAATAAACACTTCGGAACCATTCCCTCTCTCAAACCTGCTTCTCTCCATGTCACTTTGGGCAGCTGCTAATAGCGTCTGTATCACAGCATACTCCAAGGCATTAAGGGGGAGAAATTTTGCTTTTACCCCATTGGCAACTCTCTTCTCCCCTTTAGGGCCCTCCTCTGCCAACTCCAATGGGTAAAGTTGTAAGAATAAAAGAATATTACTGACATCTGCGATTACAGGAATATACCACTCATAACCTGGATGCTATCTATCCTGAGGGATACTCATGCTGCTGAAGAATATTTATACAGCTCTTTTGTCAAATGAGCCAATTATCCTGTTTCTCAGAATTTTGCTATTCACATTGACTCAGCAGCCAGGTGCCAAAGAAAAGCACTCTGCAAGGTTCAAGCTGCAGATGCTTCAGATAAATCTACCTGAATATAATCAAACACTGAAGCATAATAAGATACACAAAGAGGTGTACTGCCCTCTCACCTTCCCCAGTAAACTTTCTGTAACAAACAGGGCATCAGATCTAATGAGGCTGAACAGGTTCTCCAGGCAAGAAAGCTCCATTTTATTTTGGATTATATGCACCTGCAATTTTATAAATCTCTAGCTTAGAAGGCATGGCCAAGATCTATGACTAGGAAAGAGATCTAGCTAACTTTGAAGTGAGGGGGGAATATTTCATGTAAACGGGGTCCTGCTACCATCTGAAACTACTAGGGGCATCTTTTAAAAGGAAGCATAATTAGAGCCATTACCTTACGGTTATTGGGTGGAATGCTACAATTCTTTTACCTACAAGATGCACATACACAAATATATATCAAAACGACCAGGCTGGCTTTTTTTAGCCTGCACACTGCTCTTCACCAGTGCAGAGATTTCAGCTTAACTGTTAACACACTTACCGAAGGAGACAACTTTTTGTCTTGATTCTGAGTAAAAATCCCCTGCCTTCAGTGCTGCAGACTGCCCATTTTAGGACTTTCTTTTAAAAATATAATTGAAGGAGGAAAGCACCAATGTGCTCTACCCTAGCACAAGATGCAGCTTTAGCTGCAGCATCATGTCTCTTCTCTGCCCTCTGCTCCTGCCCCTGCATGTAATGCAAGCTGGCTAGGGCTGAAGGGAATTGCCATCCACCAACATCTGGAGTGCCAGATACTCCCGACCCCTCATCCAAAGTTGAAGGTCACAATGTCCAGCTATTTTTCATTCTCTTGCTCTTTCTGGCATAAAAATATGCCCATTCAGCATAAAAACTACAGATGTGATAGTTCCTAGAATGACAATTCTTTTGTAATCAAGTAACTGCCCAACTTTTAAGTGATTAACTTAAAAGAATCAACTATACATACATTTGTGACTGAGATAGGCAGTGAGAGAACCTTGTCAGGTTCCTTGAAGGAAAAAGATAGTTCCTCCTTTGTACAGTACCCCTTCCAACTCAGGGCTCTCTCCTACAACTCTCCAACACTGATGGGAAAGTTATGAAGTTAACCTGGCTGAATTGTCTGCACTGTGACACAGCCTATCACTTACACACATTTCTCTCAGGCTCACCAGTGAATCAGGAAGCAAAATACTAAAGCTTAATGAAAACGAACATGAAGAACATTAAATAAGTTTTACTGGAGCCTTATATGTCAACTCCCTTTTAAAAAGGTGAGGGGGCATGTAACCTGTACTTTCTTGCATGGCCATGAAATTTGAATGTGGCAGTCATAGGTACATCTCTACTTAATCTGGATCCAGGCAATCCCTTTAGCACAAATATTATGCATGACCATTTAAAGGTGGAATGGCTTTGTGTGACCTTGGTTCTTAAACAGGATTTATAAATTGGCATGAAAACTTTCCGGTGTAATCCAGGCAACTTGAACAAACACTACTCTGCCGGAATATGCCCAAGCAAATATACCGGTGAAAATCTATCATTTGCACAGTCTTTTTCCTGAAAGAGCACTGGTAAATCTATACTAATGTCATAAGTAATGCTAGAAAAGCAGAACTGGGATCTCTCCTCAAATACATGAGTTTTAAATTATTACCACCACCATAATCTCCAAAGTGACAACAATATTTTCTGCATGCTCTCATTCAGATTCTCAACACTGAAGGACTTTCAAATACGGAAGTGGAAGCACCCACAGGTATCTTTACTCAGGATGAAACCACTGCACAGTTATTTCAAGAAGGACGCTGTGGATGAAGTTTTCTCCTTTTACAAGCAAAAATGTAAGAAACCAAATGCAATGACCTGTATGGTGCTATCTTATACAAGATTAGGCAGAAAAAAGGTTTTCAACTCCCAGCCTGCCTCAGCAGTGTAGCACAGTTGGCTGGGACATACTAGGAACTGAAAGCCTTTTTTCTGTAAATGTACATAGAATCACTACTTTAGTATTTATTTATTTATTCATTCATTTGCACAGTGGGCACCAATTACATTTCTATGGGTCATATACTGTGCTTTTGTTTTACACTGCCTTTGGAAGGGGAACAGCAAACAAAGCCTCTGGCAAAGTACTTGAAAAGCTGCCTGGATTCACTTTCAAATCTCTGGAGTATCGATTCACAGCAGACAGAGACACAAGAGACACAGGAACATGAACTAAACACACACCATTTAACACATGCCCTCATCCTATGGCCAAGTTCAGCTTTCATGGTAGCCCTGGACAAATCACCAAGAAGCATTCCCAACTTCCCTTGCATAAGAGAAGGGGGACATTGCTCATTCATAAGCCTGCATTTTTCTCCATCTAAGCAACAGTTTCTTTTATAGTAAAAGGCCAAAAGAAAAACAAAAGAGAATATTCACAGGTTAGCTCTCCATCCAGGTAGGAGTTCTTTTATGTCTATGCATCAACCAATTATTAACAGTCTAGAATCCAAGTATTGCAAATGATTCTTCTACACTAATAAATATTTGATGCATAAACATGAAAGAACAGCTAACTGAACAGTGCACTAACATAAAGTGTCTTCTTTTCATATAAATCTATCACAGTGAAAAAAAAATCTTTTACTTAGGAAGCTGGGAGGGCTAATTAGAAGATGAAGAGTGTCTTATAAATGCTCCCGAAGCTCTATTATCATATCCATGTACACCTGTCATGGATACTTAGGATGCAACTCTATGCAGAAAATTCTCAGAAAAAAATGCCCTAAACTTCCTGGCACGCTCCACCCAGCTGTGCTGAGAATTGTATGCTGGCTGGGGCATCCTGAGAGATATAGGACATTTTTCTGTTCGGACATGCACAAGACTGCCCCACAGTTTGCCTCAGGTACAAACAGTGGCATCACAACCTGTGCCAAAACCTCCTTTACAGGAATGTTCTGCACCTTGAAGTAGTTGTTTCAGTTTGTCACCTCATCCCTGTTCCCACACATTGATTCTTTTTGTGTCACAAGATAGTGTGTTTAGTGCTCAAACTTACAGGACATGTACAATCATACCGGGTCATCACACACACAAACGATTAATTCACATGCAGTGTGCAAACAAGATGTGTGGACTGTAAGACATGATCCAATTATTGGAACTGGACTGAGTCAGTCTTTTTCCACAAACTTCCATCTCCAAGACAGGCTAAGATTTGCATATTTTTAAAAAATGCTAAAGAAATTTGTGCATTTTGCGCGATTTGTGTAATCTGCTTAACATTATGCAACTTGTGCAAATCACAACAGATTGTGCATTTTGAGCAAACTGGTACATAAAAAGAATATGACTCTAATCTGATTTGCCAATTAGTCAACTTGCGAAATTGGCACCTGAAATGCATTTCATTCTTGAGCTATTTGCCCAAATCATCTAAGAACCATGTCTTTGGGGTGCAGATTTGTGTGACCTGGATAATTTTATGCAAATTTCCTTAGTGCATGTATCTTCCATAGCACTTCTTAGTAACAGAAATCTGCAAATTGGCTCAACTTACACCATAACAAGTCAGCACCAGTGCAGAACTGGAAAATTCATCAGTTTCACCCTCCATCATATACTTCATGCTCACCAATCATTTTGAACCCAGCTGCATTAACAAACCACAGTTTGCTAACCAGTGACAACTCATGAAATGAAACCAGGACTCTTTGTGAAACATGAACTGTGTTGTGAACTGTGGGTTGTTCACTGCTGACAAGTCATGGTTTGTTATTGGAGCTGGTTCAGATGACACAATAACCTACATTTGATGATACAATAACCTACAATAGCCCAGACTGAATGACAACTCATAGTCAATTCAAACTCAACCCTCAAGAGTGAGTTATCATATGAACCCAGCCTGTGGATATCAAGGCATGGAATGATGTGTGGATTCCATCAGCTTCTTATAGCAATTTCAGTAGCATACTGAAAGGAAGGCAGAAAGGAAGGCATAGCCTAGGACACAGGATTGCTCATGTCACATGTGAAAATCTTCTTGTACAAAAGTCCAGAAAATCTTCTCGTACAAACGTTTGTTACATAGGACTAGAGACAGAGAAATCTCTATTTCACTTTCTGAAATGTCCACTTCTTTTCAAGCATAGGAGTGATTCATCCAGTTGCTTTATCATTTTGTTTAGTATTTTAAGCCCATATCAAAATGTGTATTTTCATATGGGCTTTCCCAAAATATACACCATTTTGTACGCATTTTTGCCATAGATACATTTGTCAAAGTATGCAATTACATGCATTACATTTGTCAAAGTATGCAATTTTGGAACTATATTCATTGAAGAATAATTAGTACTTAGTTTAACTTTGCTTAACCCAAAACACTCAGGTTTCCATGTAGTGCAACAACCTTCAGTCAATTGCAGGTTGATTATGCAACGCAAAAAAATGACTCTCACATAGCACAATTTATTGCCCTCTCCTAAGCATTTGTTCTCTAAAGGTCTGATAACTGAGCAGCTCATCAAGTAGAAGGGAGGTGATCATTGTCACTAATCTATCTTGTGATTAAATCAGAACTCTAAATGGGCCAAGAAAACAAGCCTGGACAAAAACAATGGTAGAAATCTTAGATTTATTGCTTGGTTAATACTAAGCAAGTTAATCACAGTAGATTTTTAAAATAAATAATATATTAATATTCCCTGTATTAATCAAGTGTCTGTTAAATGGCTTGTAGTGGTCATACATGTGGTCTGGACCTGGCTACAAACTCACGTGTTGATCTGTGCCGAACTCTAGCTTAACCAAAGAGAAAAACAATATACTGTTTTGTTTGTATCCACACTGCCACTGTAGATTTCAATTAAAAATAATTTTCAAAAACAAAAGGGAATAACATCAGAGAAGTGGCTTATGGGGTGATGTGCATAAATGGCACACCTGGAACCAGCAAACCATGTGCACCCAATATTCTGGCACAAAGCAGCCAAGAGAAAAGAGGATGTAGTCCAGTACACAAAAACATCTTCAAAAAGAAAAAAAAGTATAGCAGGAAGTATGAAATGATACCACAAGTTTTGAAACTTTATTTTCTTCAGACTCCTCACACAAAATAGATTTCAGAGACCACTACAGATCTCAGGAAACCATCTGGAAAAGTTCGGGATGATGTGTTAATCAACCATTTAAAGCAAAGGTTTAAACTGAGAGTCAGAAAATGGCATTCAAACTCAGAGCAGACCTGGCATATTCTAATCCAAAGCAGCTTCATATTAAGACTTCAAAACCGAGCTCCTGGTATGCACTCTTATATGTATTTCATGAAGTACACAACAGCACAAATGAAAACTTTACTACAAACATTAGGAAAAGAAAATATTCAAGATTTTTCCAGTGAACATATATTCATAAAAAACAGACCAAATATTTACCTGTATGGATGCCCCAACCTTCTCATTGCAAAGGCTGCATACCAGGGCCCATCTGCTGCTGGGAATATGAGAGACCTTTGTGATTGGTTCCATCTTTTCTGGGCTGCCAATGCTCACCTAAGGATCAATGGATAAATAAGGTTTTCAAAAACCAAGCAGAGAACAAAGGGGAAGCCCAACTATTCTGGAGTTATTTTGCTATATGCAGAAATACCAAGTTAACTGTTCTAATGTTCAGCAGTGTTTCAAGAAATATCCCACATGAAAGCTATTTAAGAAACCATGTATTACATTTTTATTCTGTTCTTTCTTGAAGGATCACAAAAAAATCCTTCAACATACTCAATGTTTGCCTCATAATGGGTAGAAGGTAGCTGTCCAGATGTTTGGGACTTCATCTTCCAGAAGAGTCTGGCAGCATGGCCAATAAAAAGGAATTCTGGAAGTCTGAAACATTTGAAAATTTACTTTCTGTCCAGCCCTGAATGCAGTGAGATAGTGGCTTGGACCAGATGTACTCAAAAGAAATTCTACCACACTCCACAGATTCTCAACTGAACTCAAATTACTTATTGAACTCCTAAGCCAAACTAGTAATCCATTGTGTTCTTTCCTTGCATTTACACTGTAAAGTAACGCTGTACTGTATTCATGTAACAACTTGTATGAGCAGCAGCAGCAGCCTGGAAATCATATTTGCTTTATGCACAGAAGGTGCCTTCTATGTTCCAGATATGTTGAACTTCAAATCCCAGAATGTGCAGAGGCTTTCAGGGGCTGACGCCAAACATTCCTGGAGATCGACCTTCTTCTAAACACACGTATATTCCACTCTGCTTTATTCCCTGCTGCTTTCTACTGGCAACTGCAGTGCGGACATTATTTTCCTTCTTTCCAGATACCTTGTTTGGTCAGGCCCTCAGTTTGTGGTATCTGCTTGAATCTGTGGGTTCTTCCACCATGCCCAAGCTATGTTTACCTACCCCAGCAGAACATTAGAAGAATCCTCCATGGCCAGCTATATCCCGGTCTTTTATATACAGCCTGCCAGCTCACACATTCTCTGTGCTACCACTGAAAAGTCATGTCAAACCTTCAAGCCCCACAATGACACAGGCTACCATTTGTGCTTCACATCATCATCTATTTCAAGGACAATGTTGCTGGCCTGACTCCACACTAGCTGGTGTCCATGATATCTTTGATGATCATGCCTGCTATATGTACTAGTGCCGCCACCATCTTTTACTTTATACAGAAAAAGCTGTGATCTCTATTCAGAGCATGTCCAGATAAATCAGTTGTGAAGAACACTCACCTCTGGAATCCAGAGGGCACAGCTGACGTGGACCCACTTAGTCCCACTACGAGTTGGCTTCATGGCTCCACCTTTCTTGGGACACAGCAAACACTTTGGCTGAACACCTAGAGCACAGGTCCGGCACAGCCAGCTGCCTTCTGGAACTTTGAGGATGCCGTAGCACGCCTGATGTCACAACACCACAGAAGAGAAATCGAGAAAAGGAAGGAAAGTAGTATGATTCAGAAGCTGGCAGAATGGTGCCTTCATTTCTATGAGCTTATTGTTCATGCTTCTATAGCAGTTTTTATGTACGGAACACTGTTATCCTCCTCCTGCTCAACCTCAATGTATGAAGGAGGTCATTTTACAAACAGGGCACTGTGGATGAGGAAGGATCTTAATTTCAGGTGGTGAGAACGCAAATGAGCTAGTTGTAAAATTTGCTACACTAGAGCACTGTGTCAGATACATCAGCAGTACCATACCTATGAAGCCGCACAGAGCCACACGTGCAGCTAGGGCTTTGCTTGCTATGCTTACCACCACTGGCTACTTACTCAGGAAGCAAGAATTGCTGCATGGAAAATAAGGCAGCAAAGAGCCTTCTTTGAATGGTGGCCATATACTTTTACAAATTAAAATGTTATGCCATGGAATAGTTGTCACTAAAGCAGCTTCCAAGTGGTCAGGACTCCACATAGCTGTGCTGGTTCAGGAATTCACTTCCCAAAGCAATCAAGCAGGATCACATAAAAAGCACACCCATGCCTAAGCCACCCATGAGATCAGGCCAAACCATGTGCTAAGTCAATTCCAGACATTGCCATGGCACTGCAGAGCGCCAAACATGCAGAAACAAGTTTGAGTCATTGTGCCACTGTGGTCACATTTGCACCAGCTTCTAAGCTCCCCTCAAATATGAGCAAGGTCCAACACTACACTGTATAAAATGCTAGGAAGGAAGTAAAGAAGACTGATTTAACCAGCTGTGACAGGAAAGGGAAGGCAGACTCCTGCCTGGGTTAATAATTATCTCCACTGGAGTTAAGCCAAGACTTTGAAACCAAAATAAGACCATGACATATTTATATCTGTGTCCACCTGAAAGATGAGAAGGTGAAACAAAAAAAAGAAGAAGAAAAAGGACGGAGGGAGGCAGTGTTCCAACAGCACAAGTGCTACTGCTTTGCATCCTGGCTCAATGTTTGCTCAGCAGGAAAGGGTGACCACAGCTGTGGCACTCACACTGCTTCTTTCAGCGGAGAAGATGCCTAGTGAGAAGCCTTGAAATACGCTACTGTTAGTTCTGCCTTCTACCTTGTATGGTTCAATACAATTCCAAGGAACACCTATCAGCTTGTCAGGTAGGTAATTTTAAAAATAAACTAAAAACTCTAAAGTAATTTTGCAACATAAACAGTACGTGGCACTTGAAAGTAGCCCGTCAGACAGGGCATGTAAATATATTTATCCTTTATAGACCCAAGAGAGAAAAATAGCCCTCCCTTGCTTATCATACATTACTCACAAAAGGGCAAACCTGCAACTCTAGAGAATAAACAGAAGCACATGGCAGGCTTCTCCCTCAACAGGAAGCAGCCAACCGCAAATGCTGATGTATTAAAAATAGCCATTTCGCCTTTTTTTTCTGCACTGCAAGTCAAGTGTGTGTCATGTTTCTACAGTAGACTGCTGTACCATGACGCCTTGTATGCTTCCAGGAAAGTACATTATACATGCAAGCTTGCATTACGTGCTTTCTAAGGGTAAGGCTATCTACACCAGAGAGAAAGCAGGCAGGCCTTGCAGAAGAAAGTGAAGAAGAAAGTAATTAAAAAATCCAGTGATTTGTCTGTGGAACTGGGACATTGTTAAACAGTTACATTTTTTTAAAATGAATAGGAATAAAATGAGGAAGACAAATGGATAAAAATAAATGAAGATGAAATGAAGGGATATATTTCATTGAAAGATTGACCCAGGAAGCGTGGTCGGCACACAGAAGCCTTCCTACATGTAGAGGTGTGTATCTTTTGTTGTAGATACAGCCCATGACAAATGTTTGTTTCATTTTGGATAGGCCTACAAGAAAAGAAGCATCCAAAGTGGCAGATTTCTCAAATAAGAATATGTAGGAGCCAAATGGATAGTGAAAGTACAAAAGGTCAAGTTTTCATATGCACAAAGATGCAACAGGCCAGTTAGGTCTGCAAGAAACCAAAGTGAAGGCTTAAATACCTGCCACTTGAGAACTTGTGGAAAAGCTCCTTAGAGGCCATAAACCCTTTAGCAGGGCCAAAGTAATGCCCTACGGCATCTGTTAAAAAAATAAAAGTGGACAACTAGAAAGAGAAGAAACAGTAAGGAAGGAAAGTTGTGGACAACTAGAAAGAGAAGAAACAGTAAGGAAGGAAAGAATAAACAAGAAATGAGAAGAATCCCGGCTTTAAGAACATAAAATGAGCCTCAATAGAGCAAAGAAAGGTCCATTCTGTTCACAACTCAGTCAAACCACAAGTAAGAGGTGGATACAGGAGCACCTCCCATCCATGCTTCCTAGCAACTGGTGTACATAGGCATATGGCCTCTGGCACAGGAGGTAGCACTGAGTCTTCAGGTAATCACTATTAGCCTTATCCTTATGCTGCCTATCTAGGAGAAGAGAACACATGTCGCAGTGGAAGTGGAAAGAGTAGGAGCTACTTTTTTCCCATATGACAATGAGAAGGACAAATGGGCTCCTGCCAAAACATTCCAAACAAGATGCACAAGCCAGATGTGGGCCAGAGACCACAAAGAAGAATTGCAGTGTCAACACAAAATAGGTAGTTTGTAGTTTCATACAGTTACTAAAACAAAATTTTAAAATCTGAAAGCATGTTGTCCTTTTCCAAGTTCTACTAGAAATGTGCAAATGGCGAAGAAGCATCTAGTAGTCAGATACCAATAGTGTACTCAACTTATTCAACCAATCCCACACATTGCTTTCTTCCTTACCCCTGTCCCTTTGCTTCTAATGCATATATTTCATCTAAGATTCCCAACCACCCTCAAAAACACCCTAAAAACCCTATTTCTGCTAATCACTCTGAAATCCATACAAACCAGTCTCGATATTAATTACTGTTACATTGGAGGCTGTACCTGATGAACGCAAATATTGCATTTGTCACAGAACACCATCTCATTGCCATCTTCACCATCTGGAGACTGGCAAACGTCGCAGACAACATCCTCATCATACTCAATTCCAAGCCCTTCCTCAGTCTCAATAGCATGATTCATGTTGTCATAGCATCGCTGTTCAAATTCTTCCATGATTCTCTCCATGGTGTATTCATCTAGTTCAGGCATCCCTGGGAAATTAATCCAACGACACTCATTTTTTTTAATAATCCAGACACAGAGACACTAAGGGATACACTTTCATATATCAATCTATAGCAAGCATCCATCTTTCTTTACTAAAATTAATAGGTTGAAAAAGTAAGCTATTTCTATTGGCAGGCACCTTCCAACAGTTTGTTGATAGACAGCTATTAGCTCCCCATCAAAAAACACCACAGAAAAATGCAGACCAATACAATATGTCTCACTTTTAATGCCAGTGAAAATCAAACATACATACTGGAGGAAAACAAAACTTTAACATCATGTCATTCTTCCTTTGCAAGTGAATGATAATGTTTCTCATACAGAGACTTCATTCTCAGTTATTCATCTCGCTGCACCTGGGGCTATTTTATCAACAATTACTACTTCAGAAACACCTTTGCAAGTTTCTCATTGCAAAACAGTGTACTTGTGCGGGGGGCGGGCAGCACAAAGCTTTCTAAGCTTCCTATCATAAGAGACTGCTCCACACTTTAGATAATTTGAGCTCAGCCATTTCACAGCTGTCCCTTAAGGCTTCTTAATTGCTTAATAAAAGCTTTTTTAAAATATTCTTGATGCTTTTAGAATAAGTATTTGGTTTTAACAATGAATTGCTGCTTCAGAATAAATGGTAACAATTATGAAAAAGCGGGGGTGGAGGGGTACAATTGTCAGGAGTCCAGTACCATGTCAATATCAGTTAGCAGGGTGAAAGGCTGAACTACTGCAATGTAATATATGTGACACTACCCCTGAAGACAATCCAAAAGCTTCAGATGGTGAAGAACATGTCTGGCAGAATTTTGACCAACACAGCCAAGGTTTATGCATACCATGCTTTAGAAGAACTGCATCCCCTGTGTTTTTATTTCCAGTCCTAATTCAAGATCTGGTTCTTACCTTTACAAATGCTAACCAGCTGGGGATGCAAGCACCTGGAGGCATATCTTTTCCCACATCAATCCACTCATGCAAGATCTCCAGGGGCCTCCTCCATCAGAGTTATATGGCTTAACTAAGAGGGCTTTTGGAGCGCCAACATCCAGAAAGTAAATGCCCTCTCCAGACAGGCCCACCTGGTGCATACCTTGCCATCCTTTAGTTGTCAGGGGAAAAGGTTTTAATTCAACCAGGAATTTTAAAGTGTAATTGTAATTTTAAGTTGGTTTAAATGGTTTATCTGTTGTTTTTGTTGTTGTTTCATTGTAAACCAGCTGTAGGATGAAGGGAGTTATATAAATTATCATGTAATTCTCCCAAATAACTTTTTGTTATTAGGCAGTGTAAAAAATAAAATTAATAAATAGTTTAAATAAATAAATAAGGGGTGAACCTCACAAAAGTGTTTAGGGAAAAAAACTAAATCTGGAAGCTTCCAAAATCATTATTATCTACTCTACTAATAAATTTAATGTTAAGCTGGAATTGGTTTTATTGATCTGATGCTCTTCCTTGTGTGTTTCAAATGTATCCTAGGGCTTCTGACTTTTAGGGAAAAGTGTGCCATCTTCTCACACAGCAAATGCGAGGAGTCGCATTTCCATTTGAACCAAGCCTTTGTTTCTCCTCAAGCCCTCATACTTGTTAAAATCCTCAGGTCAAGTGGGGATACAATGGTTCCCCAAGAAAACTTTTCACTGCAGAATTTACACAGTAAATCTACAACTGAGCCCTCTACTGACATTGTTCTTTTCTGTCACTTGTACCATGTCCCCAATTTTCCCCCAAAATTTCAGAGAAAAGCACTATGTAGACCATAAAATATTCCCCAAATTGAATGATTTTGCCAGTGGAGTGTCTTTATGTCACCAAACTGAAGCAGTATTTTGCAGCTATAAAATGATCCCATGGGCTTTTCCAAAGAAAACCTGTCTAGGGAAGCAGCCTTAAGGACTGCAGATTGGCACAAACAATGAGATTTCACAGAGGAACATTTACTTCAGTAGACTGATCCCTTATGTTTTAGAAAAATACCCCACAGGACCAAAAATTACTCCTTCATGCTAATGTTTTACCTGAAGATGGCATTGACAGCTATAATACTTGTCCAATATTTTAAGTTAAAAACATACTTCTTCTGACCCTGTGGACAAATGTGAAGCCCTTTACCACTCATTTGAAAACTGCTCAAGACTGTAAAAGTCCCACACAAACACATTTGTGTATATTTTTATCCATGTTGGATTATTAACTCCCCCCTTGCATACACAGAAATGCATAACTTGTTTGCAAGCACTCCTTTCCCCACCTCCTTTTCTGTCCAGAAAATACGGCTTTACCACACATAATATGCAGTGGCAGCTGGGCCACCATCACCCCCGCCTTGCTTCCTGTCACTTCTCCCACAGCTCAGCCAAAAGCTGGCTGTAACTGGATGCTGCACTCACCCATTTCTCTGAATTCTTCATTGGCCAGTTCCAACCATGCCACATCCATATAATTAAGGTCATAGCGACATACGCTCTCCGCCAAAGTTCGAATGTCAACATACCCGAGCTCAGGGGGCTCAGAACCCGAAGAAAGGATGTACTTCCGAGGTCTCGTAAATACGACTGCTTTCGTCTCAGACACAATCCTAAAAGCATAGTAAACAGAAGGTGTTAATTATACTAGGATTTAATCCTCCTGAAAGTGGCAAATCCTCCCATGCAATTACTGCCAGATGCTTCAAATTGCTACACAACCAAAAAGAAAAAAAACGAACAGGCATTATCTACTGGTCTTGGAGCAACAAAATTATCTCTGGCTACAGTAATAAAACATATTTGAAACATGTATGGTCTGCTCTTCCATTTTGAAAAATAATGTTCAAGGTGGCTTGAAACATATATATTATTGAGATACTGGAATCATTTCAAAGAGAACAAAAAATTGGGAGCTACATCTGAACAACTGGTCCGATGTATTATTATTGTGTTATGGTATCAGAATATATTAACAAATTTGTAGATTGATAATCTTTGTTGTATTCACTGCAAGAGAAAGGCATATAAAAATACAGCAAATATATAGGAAAAGGTAAAATTTCTGTAAGGTACAAAACATGTGCTGTGCCAGGGAAAACATGGCACAAGAATAAAGAGCAGGGGAACAAATAGCACACCAATTCCTTTATCTCTGGCCTGCTGATGCAATTGGGTAATCCATGAAGTTGCTGTCATTGGCTTCCCTGATCGTGGCTGCGTTTTGCTGCCATAAGCACATTCAAGGCCTGTAAGAGGTTGTGCTCAGCAGAGACTAGTGCCACCCCTAGCCATCACTCCTGCTTGTTGCTCCTTGCTGCTGACCCCAAACAGCAGGCAGACCTGGCAAGGAAAAGGAGATAGTTTCAGCCAGGTAGCTCAAGCTGGTGCTTAAAAGACCATCTCCTTTTGCTCACCGCTGCCAGCTGCTTCCCCAGCTTTGATTTCGGGCCAGCGAAGAAGAGGAGCAAGCTTCAGTAGGCCAAAGAGGGCAGTGAGGCAAGCATACTCTGTCTCCTTGGGAAGTCCCGCAAGAACATGCCTCACAGCTGTGATCATATGTTAATCCTAGCAGAGGGGGCACAAGGAAGTCCAGGAGAACATCGGCCCTGCACCTCAGCCTCAGGATCCCAAATCAATCACTGCAGCAGCTGGTGGGAAACAAGCCACATTCTATTTGGTCTCCTTGAGGAGGCTGAGCAGAATATGGCTCATTCCTGTCACTGATGATCCTAGCAGAGATGGGCTGCTGAGCAGCCCCCAGCTGCCAAGATCAAGAGTGGGTAGCTTTGGGCAGCTGTCCCAAGTGTCACTTGGGCACCCTGGGTGACTGTCATCCCCACTCTGCGCCCCATAGTATTCCCACAATTTTCTCTGCAATACTGGCAGAAGAACTAAGGCAGAAAGGGAAGGGAGGAGATACCCAGAACCTCACTATGGCTGGCCATCTGTCATGTACACTGGGAGTCACAGGCAAAAAATCCACACTGTATGGCTTTCTATGCAGTGTAGATTGCTGTGTGTCATCACAACCCAGCCAGTGAGTAACTAGTGTGGAAAAAGCAAACTTTACGTTAGACATACTTAGGAAAGGAACCAAAAATAAAACTTCCAGGATCATGCTCCTCTTATAAACAAGTGCACTTAGAATACTTTGTTCAGTTCTGGCCACTATTCCTAAAAAAAGATGCTGCAGAGTTGCAAGAAACACAAAAAAAGGCAAGTAAAATCCTCAAGGGACTAGAGAAACCCTCCTACAAGGAAAGATTAGAACAGCTGCAATTGTTTAGCACAGAAAAACAGAGAGTACTGAGAGATATGAGAGAGGTGTACAAAATTATGCATGGTGTGGAGAAAGTGGGAAGGGGACACTTTCTTGCAATCTCGTAATATTAGAACCCAGGGTCATCTCATGAATCTGGCTAGTGAGAGGTTCAGGACAGATAAAAGGAAGTATTTCTTAGCACAACACACAGTTAAACTAGGGAATTTGTTTCTACAGGCTGTAATGATGGCCATCCAAGAGTACTGGACACATTTATGGAGGAAAAGGCAATCAATGGCTACTAGTCTTGATGGCTATAAGCTACATCCGTTATCAGAGGCAGGGTATCAGTTGCTGGGGAACATGGGTGGGAGCATGCTGTGGCACTCGTGTCCTTCTTGTGGGTTTAACATGGGCAGCTGGTTGGCTATGAAATGAACGGAATGCTAGATGAGATGTCCTTTGGTCTGATCCAGCAGGGCACTTCCTATGTTCCTATATTCTATATAGGAGCAGCTGAGAAGAAATGCAAAAGAAGGCAGCAGCAGAGTGACTTGGAACCACTGAAAAGGAAGTTCAGGGAAAGCAATAGAGCTGTGAAGATAAAGAGCAACATTTCAGAAGCGCCAGAAACAAGAGTCCAAGAAACTACGAAAGAGTCTCATTAACTGCAGCGTGATATGTAATCAACTGTGGTTTAATGTCAGTTAATACACTTTTATTTGTTCTTAGTTTCTATTGATAATTACTGAAAGTCAAAAATATTGCTGTATTTGTGTTTGATTCTTAAGTGATTGCAATCTACCCTTCCTTGAAGACTGTAGAAGCTTCCTTGGAATTTCCTAGAACCACACAATTGGATGGAAAATAACATTCCAACAGAAATCCAAAAAGCAGTCATCCAGAGCAGCTTAGAAAGTGAAGCCATGGTTTATTTTCTTCCTTATGTTGCACCAAACTGTACCTGGCTACTGGCTCTGGGATCGTCCCTGGACTCACTGGCACCTGAACTCCCTTCTCCCATTCCTGTCTCCAGGGATCTGCCAGCACATAGTATTCATCGGGGTTCAGCTGGTAAGAATCAGGCAGCTTCATGGCAGTGATCAAGTCTGTTCTGAACACCTGCAAAGAAAGGAAGCAAGAGAGAAAAAGATGAGACACTGACATTCGATATTGCACTCTACGATTCACAGCTCCAGGGTAGCCATAGAGCACAGTGCACAACAAGGTCACTGTGTAAGCGCTAGACTAACATGGCCTATTAAGAGGCCAGGTGGCTAAGCACATCAACATGCTGGAACAAAGAGGTGGAAAACACGTCATTTGGACTTGGGACCCGTCACTCTATTATTCACTGTCCTCCATTCACATGACACAATCCAAGTGTGGTACAAAGGGATCATCAGTTCTCATACCTTTTAACAGAAATTGCATATATTCAAAGTCTTCCTGAATAAGGCAGTATAACCCAATACGGAAAGGCCGGATCTCTTGGAAGATCTGATAACAGTTGTTCATCTAGAGTAGTAGCCAATCTGATGCTAGTACTGTTGTAAATTTTACTGGACTGGTGTAAGAGAGCTCTACGGGCCAATAGCATTTCCCCAAAGAAACCTGTAGCACCAACAAATGCTATTGTCATTGCATTAAAGGCCACTAATGCTAATTCACATCAGCACTACTGTTGAACAGGATACTGCCTTTAAGGGCTTAAAAGGAAGCAGGAACAAGCCATGTACTGTGTGATTTGCTGGTTACTTTACTGGTATCCTCATTTTATGACATGCCCATGTCTCAAAAGATAACAGTCCAGAGAAGGTAATGCACTCTCCATCTCTAGGATCCAAGGTTCAATCTCAAACACTTCTACAGAAGAGCACCTCAGCAGAGCTGGTAAAACTTCTGCTTGACCTAAGTCATCCAGCCTCTCCTGCCTGCCAGGGCAGGCTAAATGAATCATGCATCCAATCAATATAAAGCTGTTCTTTCTACCTCCACAAACCAGGATGGATTTAAATCAAATTGATTTAAATAACCATTTATATTACAATTTAAATCATAGTTTTCTACATAATTTGTACACATGTCTGCCTTACCCATAGGTAGAAGAACTTCATTAAAATATTCCCAAACTGGTCTGCTGCCATTATAGGTTTTCTCCTCCAGGGAAATAATAATATGACAAATCTCAGGCTGTACACAAAAAGGACCAAAGAACTGTGGAGTATTCTGTTCAAAAGGGTTCACTTTCATTTTTACTACTTGTCCCTCTCCCCTCACACTTAGCTTCTTGTGCAGATGTATTCTACTTCCAACAATCTTCTTCTATTCATTGATTTTTTAAAAAAAAAACTTAGCCCTCAAGAGGTAAGGGATTGATTCCCTTTACAAAGATTTGCAAAGAACCAATGGGTTTAAGGTCTTTTTCTTGACTCCGTATGTTTATTTTATAAAATTTTTGGTGTGAAGAAGAGGCATGTGATCTCTGAAGACACAAATTCACAGTTTTGAGAACTGTAAAACCAAGCATCTGTGATAATATATTCTAGATAGAAAAACTGCATGAATAGACAGCCTCATGCTGGATAATTAAAACCTAATTCTTATTTCAAGATGAATAACCTTTGGTCTATAAAGTATCTTAAATAGAAAACTATCATTTAGACAGATTTTCCCCAAAAAGCATTTTATTAAAAAATCATTTTGAATTTTTAAAATCTGATTTTTAATTTTTTTTAAGAATTCATTGATTTTTATCCACTCTGCCACAAACCAATAATCCATTATTTTAGCAATTCTGAACTGGTGACCCCTGTTAGAATTTCCCAAAAGATTTCGAACACAGCTTGACATTGCAAGGGGGAGGATGTAAGTCACAAGCAGCAGGCAATGCAAAGAGCAACACAGGTAAATAATATGTCTGGAAAGCATGCTGATAAATGTACACACTGATACAACAGTGTCTGACTTAAGGGATCACATTGCCTTCTTGAGAGCCAGCCTGCCCAATGCTGGATCCCAGCTAAGAGCTAGTTGCAAGAAATACTTTGCATGGACACAGTAACTTTTGAATTTGGGAGCTCTACATTGAACTAAGGACAGATCCTGGAAGTGCCTTTACCTTTTTATGGGGGATACACTGTTTGAAAGCATCCTTGTGGGGCACGAGCCAATACTTATTCCATCAAGGGAATCTGCAGACTCTGTACCAGCACTGTGCCTAATTGTGAAAACAGCATTCTTCCAACCCTGCAGAACCTGAGCCACAGTGAAAACGTTGCTTAGAATGTTATAGGATAGGAAGAGGTCACAATGCATGCCGGATGAACATCCATATACATCCATCTGATCATCAGCACAGGATTAGGGTATATATCAAAGTGGCCACCAGAGGACTTGCTACATAAAAGCTTTTATAATTTAAACCAAAATATCAGCCAGGAAAGTTTGTAGCCAAGTTCTGCAGCTCTACATTGCTTACCACTCTCACGCCATCTGCCATCCAGATTTACAATTGCTTTGCAGCCACAGTTCAAACTCTGCTTTGAACATGAAGAATTTCTGAAACTAGTAAAACATTTTGGAAGTTGTAGGAAGTCATCAGCCACAAGCAAGCAGGGATGGGATCCCTAACTCAGCATGTGTCATGAGTTAGAGCACACATCTGTGCGGAAAAGCCTATTGCATGTGCTTAATTCAATGTGGTTTGTCAGTGCTCATCAGCAAAATAGAAGCCACGAAGTGTCAGGCATTAAACAGAACAAGACCATGCATGCCTGCCCCCAACGCACTCCTGCCAAGAAAATATGACAAAGCAGCAAGAATAATTCATGCTTAGCACTCCATCTTCAAGATTCTATTTTAACAATAACTGCTGAATTTCTTTGCAACAAAAAGGTATTTACCCATTTTTAAAAGCAGGGTGTGTGTGGGAGAAAGGGAGAAAGAGAAGAGGATAGATAATTTTGCCACAGAGTAATTGAATCAGTCCATACAGTGCCAGCAAAGATCACCACAAGTCAGGCACCACCTCTAAAACAGTCCTTCTGAAGACTCATCGGTTTATGGCCAGTGCAGTCAGCAAGGCACACAGCCAGCTTCTCTATGCACATTTATAAGGCTGGAAACAGATTGTTCAGTGAACAGGCTGGTTGGGGGAGGTGGTGAAGAAAGAGGGGGAAGAGAGTTTCAGTATGTCTGGCCGCAATCCTCCTTATCATGGATTAATCCCAGTGCTTCACTGAGACTGATCCAGAATAAACGCTTTGGGAGCTGTTGCATATGTTTTCCAAACTCTGCTGGTGGCAATGCACATGTGTTTCATGCATCTGCCCCATTTTCCAATCGATCTTGTTACACTGTATGTCAGGAGTTCTTCCACTTTTTGTTAGCACCCTAACATCTATGTATTTTTGCAAACTGTACAAATGCTCCAAGTATACGTTTTACGAAAATTTAAGAGCCCCACCCTTTTCCACCCCAAAATATAAAGGAGAAGGTGATTTTGCTGGATAGATTAACCATAGGATGAGGGCAGATTAAACACAGGGATATTTTCATCATTTAAGGTATTACAGGAAGAGAGGCCCACCAACTCCCACTACCACCAGTCAGACCCAGATGATGAATGAAGGAACCCATGAGACACTCACACAGCAGTGACTAGCAAATCTTCATTCTGCCCCCTTGCTTAAGGAGGATGTACATTGTATATTATATGAAAAAGGTTGGGGAAAAGACTTTCTTGCTTTAACTAATTGTTTAGGTCGCCCTGGAAAAGTTTGCATCACCCTTGTGACCCACAATTCCAGAAAGGAAAAGAGAGATTTCTAAATGATTAATATCCTTTCTTTACAGACTTAGAATACTATTATGACTACCCAGGATGACTATTTAAAATGCTTAAGAAAAGAAAAAAGTAAACAAACACTGTATTTAATGGCAAAGTATTGCACTGATAAGAACTTAGAAACAATGCAAATGTCAAAAGTTACAGAACAAAGTTGCTTTTAATAAGACACAAGACTTCAGACTTTGTTGTTTTTGCGGTTGCTGCTATTATTATTAATATCATCATCATCATCCTGAAGCTGTCTGTGGAAAAATAGGGTCTCAGCATTTTAGAGCCTGAATATGTGTGGCAAGTTGTTTTGGCTACAAGACAAGGAAGGATTTAATGGAATATCAAGGATATAATTTCCAAGAATCGCTGCCTCATATTGCCATCCCTGCTATTCAGCAGATGCCACCGCCAGGTCTGGAAGCCAACACTGCAGAATTACTGATCTCTGAAACACTCACTGGCACACAGCTATTCATATCTAACTTTATGAACTAATGTCTGAGTTTTCTTGTTTTCTTCCCCCTTTTTTCCTGTTGCATAGTATCTCTTAGATTGTAAGCCTGAGGGCAAGGACTGTCTTATTTGTTATTAATCTTGCATAAGCTGCTCTGGGAGCTTTTTCAGCTGAAGATCAAGGTAAAAAATGTTTTAAATTAACAAATACGGAGAGTGTTTTGAGGTTGACATTTTGAAGTTAACACAATGGAAACTGCAAAGCATTCAGTATAAATTCAGGATAATAAATTCAAGAATTGAGATAGTAGAAGAAGCAGAAAGAAAGCCATTTTGAATAAGAAATATACAGCAACCCAATCTAGTGATTTATTTTCATAAACAACTGCTTTCTCATCCCTGTTTATGGCAGAAGCAGACCTGGGCATGCATTCCTTTATACATGCAGACTGCTTCCACCACTGGAACAAATGAGACAGGACTTACACATATTCCTAAAGATTATGTAAAGGAAAATTTTACTTATACAATCCTATATGTATATTTAAGCCATAATCAAAGGCACAGGTCATGTGCCTGCTGTTACAACAGCTAGACTGGCAAATAAAAGCAACATGGCTTTATCAGTGATGGTCCCTCAATTGCAGACCTCTTCTTGCAGCTTTGAGCCCTATGTCCTCATAAAAGACCTTTAAGGAAGTTTTACAAACTTAATTTGCATGAGAGCCCTTGGACTATTGGCAAGTTTTAAAATGTGATAAATAAATTTACAAACTGGACTTTCTGAGTGAGTAGATAACATATACGTTCCATTCAAAACAATCTCAAACATGGCTTCTTTTTCTCAATTTTGATCTTTTTTTTTCTTTTTCGCAAAGTGTTTGTTTCTGACCCTTTGTTCTTTGTAAACTGCTTTGTGTGAATATATATCTGAAAAGCAGATTATAAATTTACTGAATATATAATACACATTAACTTGGACAAAGGCCTAAAATGGCAACAGGATAATAAATTTGAAAAAAGAAGATTGAGTTAAGTGGTCTGAATGGGCTAAGACCCAAGCCATGCTAGGCATCTAGTTCTAATGAACCAAACGGGTTCCAAGAAGTTCAACTTCCAACAACAAATTCCTTTTCTTCTAGTCTTATATGTAGCCCATGGAACCTCTGCCAATTGTTAAGACATGCATCAGGTTGCACTTGGTGATCCATCATGAAATGTTAAACCTGATTTGTATTTCCTTCTTTGATCTAAGTTTCTAAAAGCAGTGCATGTAAAGCAATGAAAGAGACAAAGATTTCTGGTTTGACCACTTTGCTGAACAAGGGCTACTATTCATTAGTGCCACGTAATGGCTAGAAAACTACAGAAAGCACTCCTAAAAATGCATTTTCACTGTTTTGCACAAATCAAAGACAAATTCCCCAATATACTTTTAAAAAGCAAAAGAAAGAAAGGAAAAAAGGACTAAAAAAACTAGGTTGGGTTGGTGCCAAACTAACCCAATATTCATGGCTAAATAACTAACTTGATGCTGGCAGGGACTGTGGCAGCAGCTGAGCTCCCTGATCTCCTGGCCAGAAGAAAGGTTGCTGGGTGCCAGCTGAGACGGAGCAGAAAAGGAAAGAAAAAGAAGTATTAGGAAATGGAGGAACATCTGTTTTTCAGCAAAATGCAAGGGCATTTGACAAAATAATACCTCTGATGGTTTTCGATCCTCATGCTTAGAGCATGAACTCCTCCGGTGCTGAGACCTAGAATGCTGGGACCAGGTTGACAAGCCTAGAAGAGAAAAAGAAACGTAGAACTAAGATTGGTTTCAAAGGGTTTTGCTTCCTTCCATCCACAAAAGAATCCAACTTCAGTGGGATTCTTTCCCTAAGGCAAACAGTCTATCGCATAACAGAAATGCGGGGGGGGGGGGGTGGAATTGCTGGCTTAATTATAAACCCCTTCCACATCGTTTTTCTACCACTCTAAGGATTATACAACCAGTGGCTGCCATGTTGGTAGCTTTTAGTGGAGCAACTACAATGTGATAGCAACTGGGAAATGTTTTAAGTTGTTGGTAACTTTTCTTCAACTTTTTCTCAATCCAGTCCTACAGTCCTGGCTACCTGAAGGAGCGCTTACGTCCATATATGCCCACCCGCCCCCTGAGATCTGTGGGAGAGGCCCTTCTCCGGGAACCCTCCGTGAAGGAAATTAGGAGGGTAGGTACTTGGAGGAGGGCTTTCTCAGCGGTGGTGCCCAATCTATGGAATGCGCTCCCCAGAGAGGTCCGCCTGGCACCGTCGTTATTTGTTTTTCGGCACCAGGCAAAGACCTTTTTATTCAAACGTCATTTTAATTGCTAATATTATTTGCTTAATTCTTCGGCCAGGGCGACTTATTTTATAATGTTAATGTGTTTTATATTTTTAGTGTTTTATATTTTAATTGATGTTGTAAGCCGCCCTGAGGCTTCAACGAATGGGGCGGCATAGAAATTTTTAAATAAATAATAAATAAATAATAAATAAATAAAAAGGAACAAGGACTATTCAACAGCTAGTTATACTACCGTACAATACAGTCTCATTAAAAACTGTAATAAGTCAGAAACTGCAACTTTGTTACAATCCTTTTATTCTTCTTTCTTCTTTGTCACATGTCATAATAGACTACTTGACTGGGCTTTGGTATGCCCAACATTTTTGGAAGAAAGCATGATTATTTTTAACATACAAATCTATATTTTGCATTCAAATATACACCACCCAAACAGATTTTTATCACTACACAGAGCCTAGCTACTCATATATGTTCAACACATCTTATTCTCCTGGATGCTGAAAAATACTGTGGGCTGCATATTAGAAAATATAGGAAGGATATTTAGAGCTGAAATAGGAATTCAACTGTAGATGAAATAGAAATTCAACTGTAGATAATTCCCTCCAAAGAAAAATCAATAGCATTAATGGAGTGCAGGGTGATATATTAGACCTTGAAATTTTGCAGGAGTGTAATTGTAATGTTTTGGAACCAAACTTGTAAAGGAAATCCACATCCTCTTCGCAACTTGCCAGCAACTGATAACTAGATGAATTACTTCCTCTTGATGAGGTTAGATGATTCAGCGCTTGATAGAAAGCTCTAAATCCAGATGTTTGCTGACAAATAAGATAGGGACAGAGATGTCCATAGGGGAGGAGGGAAATCCCAAAACTCAGGTTTTCCAATACTATAATCTCTAAGAATGGCTGAAGTAGCTATGGAAGCCAGAGAACAGTGAAGGGAGGGCATCTGGAGTGTAAAATGCCAGCAATCTTAGCCTCCAGAGTCTGCATGACAGGAAAAGCCAAGTTAGGGAAATAGCCAAGAAATCAGCAGCTAAAACCAAGGAAACACCTGACTTTGGTTAAGAGCTCGGGAACAATGATTTCTCTTTTTAGATGTACATTTAAAAATTAATTTAAAACTTAAACACAGATTTACAAAAAGAATTAAAATATAATGTAACTTAAATACAGAAAAGGAGAAGCCCAGACCAGAAAGCTCACACCATCAACTCCCGAGCAGACTAGTGAAAGATCTGGTAGCAAGGCTGGTAACATCCATGTGCTTGTTTCAGTATTTATAAATTGAAAATCAGCTAGGATGTCCTGGTAGAAAGGCAGTTTGGAAATGTATTAATAAATAAGTAAAAAAAATAGATATTGGCTGTGATATTGACCGGATAACAAGCACATAGCAGATGTAGAATCTACATTAAACTGTCAGGTCAGTACTGTAACCTTATATATAGATGACAGTCAGCCATGGATGAAAATGATTCAGTGTGGCACACAAAACAGATAACAAGATCTTACTGTGAAATCAGTCAGGACTGAGATACCATTGGTAATTTATCAATGAACATTACTTTGAGATATTTTCAAGTTGTGATTGTGAAAAACAGTGTATCAGTATTCTGCTCATCAGCACTGAATGGAAGACTTTTATATTGCCTTACCTACCAAAAAGATCTTACCAATTCATCCAAACCCTGGGACAAAACTGGCTTTGGTTGGCTTGGCTCACATGGAAGGAAGGACTCAAAGCACATGCCAGACTGGAAACAACTGGGATCAGCTTGCCTTTCAACACCCATTGCTGGGAAACATGAGTGGAAGAGTGCTATTGAGCTCAAGTCTACATGTAGGCATCTGATCAGCCACTGTGGAAATAGAATGGACTATATAGGCTCTTGGTCAAATCCAGTATGGTTCTTTCATTTCTCCTGAGGTGTGCCCGGCGGCGGTGGGGGGAAGAGAAAGAGCAATGATAGAGAAATGAGAGGAAAGAAAGGAAGAAATTAAAGCCCCTCCTTCTTCAGAAGACCCTGATGTAGACATTCTCTCCTGTTCTTACCTAACCTTTTTCTCTCAGGAGAAACATATTCTACCCACACTTTGTTCCAAGTATATCTCATGCCACTGTTGGAGGAGGAAAGATGTCTGTACCAGAATATTACAGCTGTTGTGGGGAAGGGCAAAGATCCAAAGTATTTCCAGAAAAGATGGTGGGAGGGAAGAGAGCCATTACATAATCAGATTTGTGTTACTCAATGATCTAAATACTTCATGATTTTAAAAAGCCTTCCAGTAAAATTTTAAGTCCTTGTCTATACTGTTTCTTACTCTTCCTATTGAACAGAGTAATAATTTTATTACTGGTTTTTTAAGGCCTCATTTTGGGTAAGACGAATATCACACCTTCCTTGGAACCCTTCTTGGTTTTTTACCACACAACCTTAATTTCATCAATCATATTGTTCACAAATCAGTTCCTGAATGTTCATAGGCCTGTCAGAATAATCTACAGACATTGCCAACTTCTGCATGCTCTAGTAAATTCAAAGCAATGGCTATATATGTTCACCAGTTTGTCCTATACTGATGTTTCAGGAATAATTCACAGAAATAAGCTTTCTTCTGCAAGCAGAACCCTGACCACCTCTGAGCACATTTCCATGGAGAAAAACATGTGCAAATGAGGAACATAGATTGAACCAGCAACAATATCCGCAATTGTGCCAGCTGGAAAAAGTGCTGCCAAAATCATGGAAACTGCTGCCAACTATAGCCATGATCATGTAGTTCAACATTATGTTTGTCCACAAACATATGCATATTATTAAGATAGTCAGGATAACTCACACGTAGAGACAGATGTTTTGTCCAGCAGTCAATGAGACCAAAAAATAAACCCATTCTGATGGTTTCTGCATGCTAGGAAAGTGGCACAATATAATTAGCTTTGCCATGCCCTGATTATGAAAATCACAAGAGCATCTAGCTGACAAACTGTTAAGAGTTCTGCATCAGAAGGGCATATGGGAACCTTCCCATCAATGTGTGATGCACAAAGACCACGAGGAAAAACATAAAGATTTCAAGTCAGAAAGCAGTGAGAAAAAGATGCATGGAAGAGCTGTCCACTTAGCAGTCTAAAGCTATCAAATCAAACTGTTTCCCGAAGCTATTATTCTTAGAAAACCGCCTAGCACCAGCACAAGACAACTATATTGTGCCACTTTCATAAGATTTCATACATGATAGGGTATGATATAATTGCTTTTAAAAGTAATGATAAGCACACAATACTGATGCTGGGCACTGGGATGAGGGAAGGGTTCCCAGCAAAACGCTTTTAGCTATTAAATCTTCCCAACAACAGGGTTTGCACAGGTGCAGGGCCCATACGTGTGATGCACAGAGACTACAAAGAGCATAAATCATGTAAATCTTTTTAAGAATCAAAAAAACCCAAATCTTACGACTGCCAACTTTATCACTTTATGCTCATGTTAAAAATAGTATTTACTTCACTTACTATTTATTGTAATTATTCAGAAACCACATTTCATCATAAAAGATAACACAGCAGTTCATAAAATAAACCCAGTAATTTTAATTGGCTTGAAGCTTGGAGTCAATTGAAATGAAACAGAAAATGAAACATTTCATGATATTTTTTAAACCATTTTGGCTAATAGAAGGTTAACATAATACCAAGTCCTTTTTCCTCCTAAACTTCACAAGCTCAGTTGAAACCAGGAGTCAGCTCCCTAACTTTGTCAGTGTACATGGCAAGTTATAAATATGAGCACAATGCAACTAAAAGTAAGCCCTGTTAGTGTTCATGGGAAACTGACACATATTTTTAAATCTCTCCCTTTGAGCTCAATGAGATTTAAAAAGCTAAATTTTGGCTCCACAGAGTTCTATATCATTTCTTTTACTTCCATTTCTATCTCAATGCTTCCAAAGAAATTAGGGAAGGTAACTTCAGATTAAAGTATTTCTTAAAGTCCTAATAAAAACTGAGTCCCAATGTAATATGCAAATTATATAGACATTCATGCTATATTTCATGTCATTTAAACAGGAAAGTTAACAGAGTCCCGGAAGATGATTCACATATAAGGCTTGACAGAACCCTTAGCTCTATGGAAACAAAATGGCTCTAATGGGAATACAGCATGTGCCAATTCCCCAGTGCCCAGTTGCAGGCCCAGCAAAGTACATTAAGGGGGTCATGTGGCTGCTACCTATACACATTGGCTTCTGCACACTGGCTCTTGGCTTGCTTCTGTGACCATGTTTCCAACCATATTTTCTTCAGCACTGGTTAGCTAGAGCCATTTCAATTAATTTTCTAAGACAACAGGCTAATTGTATATTCCCCCTTCCCACAAAGCTGATGTTGGATTATAGCCCAAGTTGCTACAGTTAACATTTAAGGGATTCACAGGC